CACAAGATCCCTACTTTGCTTTTTAATCCTTAATTATATACTTCTCATAGGTGTGGAAGTGTGAAAGTCCATTAATCTTCTTTCTCGTCCCAAGTTCTACACTTCTCAGAGGTGTGGAAGTGTGGAAAAGTCTGACAAAGGTAGGATATTGTCACACTTTTTTGAAGTGTGGAAAAGTCTAACAAAGTCAGGATATTGGTGCTTTTTTCTCCCAGTCACAAACGCCTTTTTTCTTTTACTTACTTCTACACTTCTCAGAGGTGTGCAAGTGTGCAGTAGTCTGACAAACCGAGTTTAATGTTGCACTTTCCCTGGATGCGTCACTTTTCCACTCTTCCACACCCCTGAGAAGAGTAGAACTAAGTAAAGAATGATAAGGGGTTCATGACTAGGGAAAAAGTGTGATACTGAATATCCTGACTTTGACAGACTTTTATACCCTCCCATTATTCAAACACCCAGCAGCTCGCACTGCAAGTTTGGGGCTTGGCAAAATTCAGAAGTGGCTGGTCGGAAGGTGATTTTACAAATTGAATTAAAATATTGTTTTTCGAACGTTTTTGCTCAAAGCCCATTATTACGTCTGCATACTACATAATGGCAGATTGACCTGACTGAACAGTTCCGTATAATGGTGAATTCTATTTTTTAAATAGGGCAAAAAATGACATAAATTCTCTCTGAGTTCTGTACAGTATGATGACCCCCAACCGCAACTGATGCCCAAAATGGACCAAATGATCCTCTATCGTAAATGATCCCCAAATTGGACCGCAGATGATCCCAAAATAATAGGAATGGCTTGAACTCAAGTTAGCGGATCATCGTGTCAATTTTATTGTAATTAAAAAAAAACTGTAAAAGTAAAATTTTGCTTCTCAAATGAAAAATACATTCAAGACTTCGTTCAATAAAAAAAGCAAAAAGAACTAACTTTTAACACATTAATTTTAAAACATCGTTAAATCTGAAAGAAACAAGAAAATAGCTACGCATCGCCGTGATTTGTTCAGTTACAATTTAACAATTAAGCTTAAAACATACTGGGGTCAGTGTCTAAATAAGTTTGTTAAATGGAGTCCCTAGCCACGTGTTCACTGTAATCCGAATGTTGACATTCTCTGGGATAACATAACATAACTACCGCTTATCCCGCTTTTTGGTTTGTCATTACCAGGTTTAGATTCTTCGTAACTGTCTCCAGCAAAGGCACAACAAATAAATATACAGGTTAGCGACAATATAACTATAAGCAAGTTGCTATTTCGAAATAGACGGAAACCTGTGCAGATTGATAAATTCGAGGACATTCTGACGTTTGTTAATTCATGTCATGTCTCGTAAAGGGCACTCAGGTATACAAATGTCTTGCTTAAAATCACGTAGAAGTAATATTTCAGAGAAAAATCAAAGTTAAATATTCTGAGGATTAATTCGACACTTCCAAAGACAATCGTTTAAGTCAATAAAGCTTTTGCTATGGACAGGGTGCCCAGGTTTCTATTCCTCAAGTTGAGCTTAATCTAGGCGTTGAAATAATAGAGTTAATTCTGCGTAATATCCTGCCTATTTAGATTTTTACAGCGACGAACGAAATTTGAAGCAATTGCCAAAGGAAGAAGTACGGTTGATACCATATAGTAATATCAAATATAACCTATCACAAGCATCTTTTAGAAGACACTCCCTTCACAACTCAATAAATACAGTACCACAAGTGAAGAGTAAAACAATATGTTTTTCGTCTCTCACCTATATTTCGGCCGTGTTAAACGGCCTTCATCAGGGTTAATGGTCGTTACAAGCATCACACACCATTATTACATGATAACGAACAAATGTGAAAACTTGCACGCGCTACAAAGAAAGATAAACACGCGCGCGCTCTTACCGGACGCGAGACCTAGTCGACCTATTCTGGCTGTAAAAAAAGTCACTTATATTCAAGCCCTGAGGCTGAATACAGTTCAACCTATAGGCCCACTGGCCTTCTTTATCCCGGAGAGCTGATTCTTCCCCGGACACTCTGTCAATTAACTGTATACTGACATCCTCAAGACCATGGTGTCCCGGGCCAAAAAAATGTCTATACAAAAGATCATCCTTGTTTCTACCCTCAAAAGAAAGCCCTGAATGCGCTCTAAAACGGGCCTTATGATTGTTAAACCTAAGCCTAAATTTTGTTGTTGTTGACCCAACGTACTGCGTATGACAAACCTTACAGGACAGCAAGTAGACAACATTACTACCATTACAGTCCAGCTCGTAGTTAATTGTATAGCTCTTTGCAGTTCTGTAAGAGGTAAACCTTTCTCCCGGTTCCAGGTACTTACAGACCTGGCATATATATATTTATTAAAAACTGAATCATTGGATAATGCAATTCTAGCATTTTGATTGGTTTAGCCGTTATGGTATATGAGCTAATATACCATGTTCTCCATATATGGTCGGTGTACGCGTCAGTTTAAAATTGGAAGCTAGCTGAGATTTTTTTTCGCGAAGGATAGAACGGCGCCCGAAGCAAATCGTTTTAATTCATTTCTTAGAATACTAGAAATGCAATTTCAACGAAAGAAAAAAGACAAAAACAAACAAAAAAGCCACAAGAGCTTGTTTGAAAGTTTGTCGAAAAACACATGAAACTAAAGTACCTTGACCAGCTACGAAAGAAGACAAGTGTTGTTTCTTCATGATCGCGAAGCCATTCGCCGATCGAGTCACTCGCCGATAGATAACTGCAGCTTGTTTATCCAACATCAAGAATATAAATCACAAGTAACCAGCTAGAAATACAGGCTATGCAGCCATTCACTAGAGCAATCGAGGCGGCAGTATAGCTTCTTTTCTCGTTCAGCAAAACCAGCTTGTGGCTTCAAACAACTTCATAACAAGCGACGGGTAATACCAGTAGTTTTTCTCCGTTGTTCTTACTTTTATAACTGCACCGAAAATCCAAATTCATAGTAATTTCGACGGCTGTCACTTAAAAATTCCTTTCCTTCACATTATCTGCCAGGTTTTTTAAGCTGTTCTGCTGTATAAAATCCTAGAATCACGATGAGTTTTCAAAAAACTAATGTTCATCGCACAATGTTTTGATTTTTCATTCATGCAGTCTAGGCGAGCCCGTTCGCGCGTTGACAGTTTTGATAGACGTGTGACATGTCAATAGCGGAAGTCCCTTGTCTTTTCCGGTTTGTTCTAGTCGGGGCGATTCAACGAGATTTTGTGGGCGTTTTTAATAAAACAATTATTCCACTCGGGCTTGTTGGATATGAAATGATTATAGCCAACTCGGCGCTATGCGCCTCGTTGGCTATCTATCATCTCATATCCAACGCGCCCTCGTGGAATAATTGTTAAATATATATATATAATAATATCAAACTAAGATCCAGTCCATTCCTCAATTTTTCACGGGATCATTTGCGGTCCATGTTGGGGATCATTTAAGGTAGAGGATGATTTGCGGCCTGGGGATCATTTGCGGCACTGTTCAGGTCTGTACGATGAACAAACAACGCCTGGTAGTTCTGTTTACCGCAGAGATGATGCAAAAAGGCTAGTTTACGTGCAACCAGATTTGCAAAGCAAACTTGTAGCGAGCCACTCAAAAAAAATCTTTCCTATAGACTCGATTTAGACAGAGAGATAAAACCGATAAGTTATAACGTGCAAATTGCCCGCCACCAAGGACTATCGTGTATTTACGGCCTTTGTATCGGGACTGTCTAATTACCGTTATAAAATAAAGGTGGTGTAGGTGGGTAAATAAGTCATTTTGCTTGGGAACAATTTGTTTTCCACGCCTAATTTACTGTGGTCAAAGGTAAGTGCTATTTATTGAGTGTACAAATAAGACTATTTACTCGATGTAAGATTTTAGATGTAATTTCATTCTCGCACAGTTTGCAAATCCTTTTTTCTCTAAAATCACCCAGCCCCACCCTTAAAAGTCATATGGATCTCCTTAGCTAACTGATTTGTGGATAACGACGTGCTTTATTGTTTGATTTAAAGTATAAATGTATTAACTGGAGCCAAGCATTAGCCCCGGCTAAATAACAATTATTCACCGAAGTGGAGGTGGCTGGTAGTGGGATTTACCGAGGCTGCGAAGCGGCGAGGTAAATACCACTACTAGCCACCGACACTGAGGTGAATAATTGTTTTAGTATATACTAAACCAGTGAGATAATTGAGCACAAAAATGATGATTTTTAACTCATTCACTGTGGCCAACCATTACAATTTTGGCGCGCGATGACCGAACGGCCGCCGTCGTCGCTTTTTCTTGGCGACAAATAAACTTTTGAAGGCGTTTGTTTAGCTCTTGCGGGGAAGTTTCTTCAAAAGGAGCTGTGAATTCTTTTTTTGTTTAAAATCGTTCTGTAAAAAAGATTATTAAATTTAGTTTTACGCTTATTTATGAACAAGTCAACTAAATGAAGTAACGCAAGACTTAAGCTTAATTTGCATTTGTCAACGAAAAAACTTTTTCACCTGTTTTATCGATAAATTCAAGTCAAAAAGACAAAGCTTTACCTGTTGAAACTTCCAAACCGAACGTCGTCACCTTCTTTGTGTATTTCGGGGACAGCTTGCTTGATTAGTTGTGAAATTTCTTAGTTGTTACGGCAGCAAACCGGGAAAGCATTTTGCTCGCAACTTACGCGAGTTTGGCGTCGCTCGCTCGAGGGAACGGGGGGTGAATCAGTGAATAGTGCAGGATATTCACTGATTGAGTAGCCAATCAGAGCGCGCGAAAAAACACTATCCACTGTTTTAGTATGTACTAAATCTATATATTATAAGAAACAAACACCGACAGAAGGAAGGGAGTTGGCCCAAAATTGTTCCACCCCTCCGTCAGGGTAGATAAATAAGACGCGAAATTCCCCCTGAACATAAAAGACAAATTAACGATTTATTTATTCCTATTAACATCATTATTGTAATTATTATTACCAAATTACGACAAAATTATTACAAACTACCACAGTTATTATAAATTACTACAATTATTACGAATTACGATAAAACAGTCGTTTATTACATTTAGGCCTTCGGTATGTTCGTTTCTAAAAAACATTTGAAAAAATTGACCAAAAAGTCTTTAATTTTACCGACTGAAAAAAGAAAACGTAGTTGTAGTTCAGCAACTAAAAAACATAATTGATCAAACAACATTCGACGTCACTTCTGTATAATCTATTGTCACACGTCGGTCTCTATTGGTAACCGAGGAAAAGTGGCATCGCTTGTTTCCTTTTTATCGCCAGCTATCTTAGGGCTCTGGAGTTTCTGGTCTCTTTTTAATTGTCTCGTGTGTATCGATGGATTGCAAATAACGTTGGTATCATGATCAGGGGACACCCTGTCATTGTCCCCACCATCATTCTCCATTTCATGTCCAGTTCCTCCAGTGTTTCGCCGCGACACTAACGCGGAATTTGAAGCTCTTGTTGCCAATGGAATCATAAGCGACGCTCCTTGATGAAGTTCTTCCTGTAATAAGTAATGAGTCACGTAAACTAAACGACAGAGCTGTAATGACATAAACTGAGACTTGTCAGTGACATTTGTCAGATTTTCTCATTTCTTTCCTTTTTGTTGTTATTATTATTATTATTATTATTATTATTGTTATTGTTATTTATTTATTTATTTATTTATTTATTTGTACAGGTTGTAATCCCACTGATTCAGGAGTCAGAATGGGTTAATTTGCCGTTAATGAAAGAAACATGCGCCGGGAAAAAAAACCCTGTAATTCCGGTCTCAACTATATCCGTCCTAAAGAATTATACAGAATTTAAATTGTTAAACTGACTTAAAGATGGACTATTAAACGCATAAACCGATGGTATGAATGCAGGTAACTCTTGTCTTGCGGACAACCGACTTTCCGATTGAAATTCGGCTTCAAATATCTTTTGTCTCACTATTTGGGCCGACTTAGTAACGAGTAAACCCACTAATACCTCCTCCAATTGACGTGTTGAATCAACTTTATCCGATAGTGACACCAACATAGCATCGAACTCTTTGACCAGTTCCTCAAATGTAGGTCTTTGCGTCGGTGACTCCTGCCAACATTTCAACATAATCTGATACCTAAGGAAGCAAGAAAAACCCAAAACACACAATATGTTTTCCATAACTACTGGATGTCTTTCTTCTTGGTTCTTTCATGTCACGAGCTACATCCGGCTCAGCTCCGATTAGTAAGGATTATTTCCTCCTCCTCTTAGACTGTTTGCAGCACCTATTTTTGTTTTACATTATTTTTTTTATTAATGCACTAGCTGGACGCAACTGAGTATCAATAAAAAGTGCAAGGGGGCTGGACGGGGAGCCTACCTCTTCCCACCAACCCCCGCCCCACCTCCCCAACTCCTGTGCGTTTAGCGCTCGCTTTGCTTGATTTTTTTAACATTTTCTTCTAGTTTAATTCCATTGGTTATGAATATCATTTTTATTTAACCCTTTTAATCCCAGGATGAATGATGAAACCATCCTCGGTAATACAGGTATGAAACCTCCCCAATAGTACTTTCGAGTGGTGCTATTTGTTTTAGAGCATTTAACACAAACGAATTTGAAAATTTTGTTGAATTTTAAATTTGCCCACTTTTAGAAGTAGATGGGTATGCATGCCACAACTAAAATGGCGAATCTGGCGAAAAATCGCCAGAGGGCTGGCGAAAACTTAAATGAGATTACAAGAGGCGCTCCTTGTAAAGTAGAGAAGTTGACGAATGGCATATCTGACAGAAATGGAGAATCTGACGAAAATGGCGAATCTCACATAATCGCCAGAGGGTTGAGAGGGGCTATTTTGGCGAATATATATAGCATATTTGACGAAAATGGCAAATATGCCGAGCCTAACATCTATCAAAGGCTTAACAACATCTTAACAAAATCATCTCTTTTTGCACTTCAATGGATACCAAAGGGACTGAAGAAGATCTATGCGTTTGCCAAAGGCACTTAAACCGGGATATTTCACTCTTGGGAAAAAGTGAAAGGGCTTGTGAACGGAAAACCTGATAAAATATACAAGCTTCTTCAGTCGAACGAAGGAATTGAGTTCTTACAACAGCACGGTATTGACCCTGAAGAAATAGAACAGGGAGAATTAAGCCAGGGCGTTGGATATCTCGAAACAAAGAAGAACTATTTTTACATTTTTCAGGGAGCGTTTGTAAACTAGAAACTGTCATGAATGCAGTTAAATGTCAGTTAGCGGACATGAATGGTTTGTCAACGGAGTAAGTGAAACTGCAAGAAAAAATGAAAAAGGGAATCAACGCAAGCACCTAAGTCACCTACGAAGGACTACAATCCAAAGTAGAAGAAGCTCTAGAGAGAGAAAAAACAAAGATCTACGCACTCACAACGAACAAATGAGACAGTTAATAAACGATTTTGAATCAACTACTCCAGTTAATGATATGCAAAGTGCGGGACATTATCATGTATATTCTAAAGAGCGAGGCTGTGAAAGCAGGGGCCATGCAGCTAACTCCTTCATTCTACATTTCTTGACGTGTTATCTTTGTATTCACTACTATAATTCAAGCTAGTTTGGCTACTTACATGATCTCTGGACAGCTGAGTGGCTTTCCCATTCGGTATCCAGATTTTAAAAGTTCAAAGAGGTTTGCTAAAGTAACGCTACCATATGGCGTTCCTCCTAGAAAAAAGCATTTAGAAGAAATTGATGAATTGTGACTATTGTCCCCTAAAAAAGTAGAAAGGGTATTTTTGTTCTTAGGAAAATGCCTTATGAGAAATGTTCCTTTTCTTTATTTCCTCGTGAATATAAAATGTTACTTACGTACCAAAAGTAACCATTTCCCATAAAAGTATTCCAAAGGACCACCTGATGAAAGAAGAACAACACATTAAAACTTCCCCTCTGTTTATAAAGTGTGTCGAGACAGTTTAGTCCATTTTTTTTAAGTTTTACCACTTATTTGCTTTGAAATTTAACGTTCAGTGCGAAGAAATTACTGTCTAAATGGCAAAACCACGGCCGCCTCAGAACAAGTCTTCTACACATCAGATAACAGATAAAAATGTTTAGAAACTGTTAGGCTGAACCGCTTTCAAACAATCCAACTGCAGATCAACTGCAATCCGCTTACGATATCGCACAATAGAAAAGCTGCTTTGTACGCTTCCTTTTGGCTGAATTTGGCTAAATTATGTGACACTACAAAATAGATTAGACCAGGTTAAGTACAAAACATTTCTTTACCTCACTAATTAACAGGGACTAATCAACGTTTCAAGGTACTTACACGTCACTTTGTGTATTATAGACGCCATCAAAGAGGGATTCAACGGCCATCCACATGACTGGAAGATGTCCCTAATAAAAAATGTATCGCAAAAATAACATAAAGAGATTGGTATCTTTAAAATCGTATTTAGGGTCTGTTTGTATGGGAGAAGGGTGCCCATAGGGGTCAGGGGAACCCTCCCTCCCGGCATTAAAGTTACCGTTGTTCTTTGATCATGCACAGTTTGAACATGGTTAGGGTACCTTCCCTTGCAGGTTCAAAATATTTTTAATGAGCTGAAAAGTCTCTACAACGGGGGCCTAAATTGTTGATTGCAGATTTGGCACTCTCTTTCTGGGCTTGTTTTTCGGTTACTTTGACCTCGCGAGTGGTTTCCTCTGTCTGATCCTCCTTCTTAAAATCCTTTCTGTCAGGTTCGTTTTCTGCCATTCTTTCGAGTTGATATCTACGAAAATATTTGTCAGGTTTTTAGCTTGCAGAAAGAAGGTATGGAAACCCTACCCTAAGAGGCACCGAAGCGTGCATGTACAACGAACTGCGTGAAAGAAAGGAGAAAGAAAACTCTACCACCTAGGATGCAACCTCCATGTAAACAGGGTATTATTTTGAAAAAAAGGGAGTTTTAAACTCAGTAAAAAGAAAAATGCTGACCCTGATATAAGGCAGTGCAACGTTGTGGTTGTTCGAAAAAGGCAAAAAAAATAAAAACCTTTGAAATTAACTTCGTTTTAAATGATTTAACTTGATCAATATAACAGCGAGGAATACACAAAGGCCGGCCGTAAAAGATGGTCCGAAAGTTCCGTTACAATGGTAGAGATGAAAAAACCACATGGACGATAAGTAAAAAAGGAAATTAACTAATTAGCAGCTATATAAGAACACGCAATACGAAAATTAATTTCCTCTTACGAAAATGCGTTATCTTCGTAAAAGGGGGTGATATTTTACAACTGAAATTCACTGAGGCCGTGTACCCTCTAGTTTGAAAATCAAATATTTTAAGTGTTTCAAGCAAACTATATTATGTACTACTCACGTCTGTTGTTTTTCTGTAATAATCCTTTAGATGCACTTGTCTAGATAGACCAAAGTCTGAAATTTTCATGGTATTATCTTCAGCAACTAAGACGTTTCTTGCGGCAAGATCACGATGAATACACTAAGAAAAAGGTAAGAAATTTGTTAATGACCTTAGCCTTATCTGATGACTTCTCTTCTCTTGCACGGATGGCTTCCCAAAGATCGAGCCCTCGGTAACTCGTAGCTTGCGCAATCTCGAATCAACGTCCCCCTGGGTTTGCTCCATACTTAAATGCATGACAAACCTGAACAGTAAAATTAACAAAACTGAACAGAACAATAATATTACAAAAGGAATCTCACATGATTATTTTTGTTTTGACAAAGAAAACCCTTAATGGTGGGTACTCAATAAAGTGCTATACGGGGAGGCTCCACACCAAGGCCCAGTCGTCCTTACCCTTTTATATAACATTACGAAAAAAAGATACCCCTTTCATGTACCTTCCATAGTTAAAAGTGGCACCTCTTTCAGTTAGACTACTGCATCCCTCTTCTGAGCCGCTGATTTTTTCAACTGGCGAAAATAAGCAATTCAAACCTCTGATACTTTGTCATTGTATCTATAGTTTACCTCTCATAACTGGAGCCTTTCTTAATATTTTTAAATGACTAGAAACATACCACAGTTTATCAGAATTTCTATTGAATGAAATTGAGTGGCATACGTTCTCATTACAAAGATATAGTTTTTTGTACCCTTTGTTCGTAATAAACCTGTTTCAACCCAACGCTTGACAAGCAACCAAAATAGTACACACAGTAACGTGAAGTTCAGAAGCAAACTATAGGCGAGACGTATATATGGTGTCATCTTGAACTACCTTGGCATTCGGGCAGTCCTCGTAAATTTGACGCCAGATTACAGCCCTGAGAAGTTCTTAATGGTTTTAAGGAAATTTGAGTCACTCCGAGAATACGCCGTGAACTTAATTTCAGATAATGGTGCTCAGTTGACAGTAGCCACGAGGAGCTTAGGAAAGTGCCCAGATCTTGAGATTGGGACGAGCTGACCGCGGTCAGCGCGAAAAAGGGAATGAAATGGGCTTTTCTTCCAGCCGATGCTCCTTAGCAAAAAAAGCACCTCTGAGGCTCTAGTGAAGTCCATGAAGAAAGTAATTACTGTAGTAGTTGGTGGAAGCGTTATGATCTTCTTTCACCTACAAACAATGTGCCATGAGGCAGCGAACCTTGTGAATGAGAGGCCAATTGGTAAGCATCCCAAGTCACCCGAAAATTGGACTTCTGCTCGAACGATTTCCCGGTTAGGCTTTTTCACCTGAAGAGTTTCCAGTGGTCCCTTCAGAGAGACAAGGAGACTAAATCGCCGCTTTGAATTTATTTAGCAGGTTGTAGGATTTCTTCCCAAGCTTGATTGTACAGCAGAAGTAGCATACGGAGAAACCCAACGTAATGGCAGGTAATTCTATGTTCATTGTGCTAGCATTTGTTGCACTGTAATCTTTGTTATCGCTGTAGACACGTGCCTTTAGGCGCTCTGTTGATAATAAAGCAGGCTTGTTGTTTTTGTTTTTGTTGTTGTAGTTGTAGTTATGACCCAAGATTAAAACAAAACGTCCAACGTTTACCCTGGGGATGTTGAAAGGTAGAGTAAGGAAAGTAGATGTGTTCAAGTACCAAGTGTGAAGAGAGGATTTATTGTTAGTTAGTTATATTGCTTTCGCTCATAAAAATATGAAAAGGCAATGTAGAAATCCTTTATTCTTTAGCCTTAACTTCTCTAAGCCGCAAAAAACCTGTTGATATTTACTGAGCGTAACCTTGTTTGTCAAGTCATAACTGTAGTTAGCCTTCAAGCTGTAATCAACCTGTAAGAAGCCGTGATTTAAGGAAAATATGTTCTTAAAACAGACCTTAAATTCAAATAACTTTTCCCTATATTTATATTTTTAGTGGCAAAAAATACATAATCAAGCTGATCACAGTTCAAGCTGGCTTGGAAAAGGATTTTTGCCCAAACTACATCACCAACCCCTCAATAACCTTACCACACACGAACACACATCTCTGCAAAAATCTTGGTGTTTAACCCAATTTCTAATATATAGATTTAGCCAGGGCTAAAAGCGAGGCTCCCATTAATAAATTTATAATTTAAATCAAACAATAAACTTGTATTCGACAATTCAGTGAACTTTAGAGCGCATTCGTGTGACTTTTCAGGGGAAGGCTAAGTGATTTTACAAAAAATAATTTGCAAACAGCCCAAGAGTGAACCAAATCTCACATCGAGTTGATAGCCTCATAAGTACACCCAAAACCTGGCAATCATGTTCGATCACATTTATTAAGAGCCATAATGGATCTTGATCACCGTAGATTAATTAGGCCTGGAAAAAAAAATTCCGGCCGAATTTTTTGCATTCGCCAAGTTTATTTTACAAAATCTTGCCAACAAATCTGGGTGCGTGTAAACCAACCTTTTATATCATTTATACATCACATCTGAGGTGAAACAGTACTATGAGGCACTGTTTTTATCTTACAGACCTCGGACAACAGAATGCAGTATTTCGCAAAATTGCGATACAAATTGCTATTCAGGACGATCGAAGCAAGCGTGGACTTTAGCCGTAAACCGTTGAAAAAAATTTCAAAATCATCTATACGGCCAGCCGGTTCTGACTTTTGCAGTGCTAGCAGTGGCGAGTGTTTGAATGAACATTAACAGAGTTACGCTCCAACATAATAACGAATTTATTATGTTTATTTTTTAATTAACGCGCGGCATTTTGAGTACTCCGGGAAGCGTTGTTTGCTGAACGACTGAAAACAATCGGCACAACGATTAAAATTACAAGAGAGAGTACTAACAATCAATAAAAGAAATATAATTCGGTGAAACATATACAGAGATGACAATTTTCATTCAGGAAGACAAGTATTAAAGTGTCTCTAAAAATCCTGAGTCTTCGAGCTTAAAGCTGAAGTTTATGTTTTAAGCAAGATGAAAGCGAAAACGATGCCATCCGACATCGGATTTCCGACTTTGACTCAACCAAAAACCCAATAAACAAACTAGCCATGAGTAACAGAAGACTCCTGATAGCAGCTGAATTTCATTTTGTACATCCAGTGGAAAAAGAAAGTTGAAAACGTCACAAGTTGACACAAAACTCTGTCAGGTTCAGCTGCCAAAGTAAACAAGATTCAAGATGCTGCATAAATTTTCCGCATGAACTCACCTGTCAAATTTTGACCAATCAGAGCATAAAAATTGGACGTAGAGCGTGACCAACGCGTGAACATGGCGAGAAAAGTCAAAAGCAACTGTCTTGCCTGCCTGTAGCAGCTGGCTGAATTTTCGCGTCCGAGGTCAGTTTGAAACCAAAATTTTAATTGTGCGGCACAAAAACACAACATATTTGATATGAATTTTAAAAAAAATTAAACTTGAGCCTGCGATCATTTGAAAACCAGTACCCTGTCAGCGGATAACTACAAAAAACCACTTGACCTCGATGGGTCGACACCTGAGCCCGCGATACAGTCAAGTGATAATGGTCAGCGGACGCCTTGTTTTGACAGCTGTCAATGGATCACAACATAGATGTGTATCAGTTTTCCTGTGCTCCGATCCCAAACTAGCTAGAAAGTATGAGACTGAACATTGATCGCGATCTAGTAAAATAATTAACTTGTCAGCGGACAGCTTCCAAATAAATCACGTCACCTCAATGAGTTGACACACGAACCCGCGATATGGTCATGGGATACTGGTCAGTGGCTATCCTGTTTTGACAGCTGTCAATTGACCATATTGTGAATGTCCAATGTAAAAGATGTGGACTTGGCACGACACGCTTGAGACACCCCTTCCTTCCTTTTGATAGTCTCCCCTACCCCACCCGTACAATCCGTAGACGCGTACGCTCGGTCAATCACGTGACAACCAAAGGAAAAGAGGTTGACCATAATCTATGGGTATGGTCAACCTCTTTTCCTGGGAGCCCCGCTATTAGGCTACGTTCATTATGCACACTGCATGGGTTGAGGGAGTTGGTGGTTACAGGAGATAATTGTTAAATGAGCGTCATCGTTCCATATCACTCACAACATAAAATCATTTTTAACATCCACCTCCTTAACTAAGCGAAAAAAAGCACCTCTCCCTCTTCAGGAAAGTAAATTACGGTAATGCATGCAGAGGTGCTCTTACTGTAGTTACTGTAGTTACTGTAATGGTAAAAATAGCTTTTATCATAATCTTATGAAAATATCTGAATATTATGACCTCCCTGATTTTGATCCTAATAATTTAAGTGAAGCTAAGATCAAACACTATATAGATATAATAAAACAAAAATATATTGCATATTGGCAACATACAATCCATCATTCTAAGAAACTACAATTTTACAGCTTATTTAAACATGATTATAAAATTTCAAGTTATCTAGACTTAATTAGAAATTCTGCTAATAGGAAAGATCTAGTGAAAATTCGTATAAGTAACCACAAACTCATGATTGAAACTGGAAGATATAATCAAACTTCCCGCCACGATAGATTCTGCCCTATTTGTAACTCTGGTATAATTGAAGACGAATTTCATTTTCTCTTTCATTGTCCAAAATACTTAATCCCAAGGGAGAAATTCTACAATCAAATCCAACAAAATTTTGTCGACTTTAATCTGCTATCTTACACAGAATTATTAATTAAATTGATGAATTCTAAGATTTTCTCCGTAAATTCACATTTGTTGAAATTTGTCTCATTATGTAATGATTTACGTAATAATTTGTTATCAAATCATGCTGATGACACTTGATTGACTATAGTAATTATTGCATTGCATTATCATTGTTATGATTTGTTTGTTTGTTTGTTTGTTTTTTTTTTTTATGTAAAAGCTTTTGCAATACTGTAACTACATAATTATAGTCATGCAAATAAAGCTTATGTTGTTGTTGTTGTTGTTGCATTCCGGACCATGCAATCATCAAGGTTAAAGTTTAGAGCCAGACCAGTAAAGGTCTAATAAAAAGTCAGATGAAAAGATAAACATTAACCGGTGTTCTAGGATATTGAATGGTCTTAAAATCTGTTAAGCAGAAAAAGAAAAGTATTGCAATTTGCCTGCCTCTGAAAAGAAGTTCACGTATCATAAATTTAAAAGCGAAATATAAATCTCTTAAGAAGCCAGTGGCAGTGAAAGAGAAAGAAAAGTTAAAAACGTAAAATTACTTAAAGCTTTAAGCGTCGGTCAACAAATTTCTCAGTGGATGCTGCAAAACTACTTACGCATGAATTCACCTCTGACTGAAATTTTGAAAAAACTGACATGAGACGTGAACAAACCCGTAATCAAGCTAAAAGCAAAGAGAATAATTTTTGAACGTTTTCGTCGTAATTCAAACATAGAATACCTCAGGATTTTTACTGGAGCAACTCGTTTTTCGATAAGACAAACGCAAGGGTCATGTCTGTGATTACTTTCCCGTCCCCTTCTAAAGAGGAGAACGAAGAAGAGGATTACTTAATTTCCATCCCTTACAAATAGCTGTGTACCGTCGGTTGCATCTAAGTGTGTACACGTGAGGAAAAAACATGTTGTAATTGGGGGCAAACATGACATGTTTTGTCGCCAAACATTCGAAGATTGGAGTAGGCGGTTGTTGTGGACTTGATTTGTTTTTGCTAAAAACATATATTTTTTGCAAGAATTTTTAGACGTTAAGAATAATTTCTGGAGGCAAGTGTGCTGTTTTTAAGACAGAAATATGCGTGAAGGTTGAGAAAAATGAAATATGAGCGGAACGCGCTGATAAAAAGCATATAAACAACTTACCTTTGACGCGACAGTTTGCTTTAACGGCTGTCAAACTTCAAATGTTTGGCGGCAAAACACGTCATGTCTGGCACCCTATTAGAACATGTTTTTTTGTCTCGTGTTCACGCTTAGATGCAACCGACGGTATTTGACTCTCTTTGTCATTGTTTTTTAATGAAGTTTTTAAAACAGAATCTTTTGTTTGGTTTTATTGCTAGCAATTATTAGTCGCGTGTTTCAATTGGTCCTTGTTAAGTTATTAATTGTTTTTATGATAATAAGTCAAGGTTCTCCCTTGGGGTTTTTTCTGTTGAGCTAATTTGTATGCAACGGTGGGCTTGTGAACTCGCATACTTACCTGACTAACGGCGCGTGGAACGCTGAGACTTTAATAGTTTTTCATTTCCTCGAGATAGAAAGGAGATAACGGTTTTGTTACGGTCATGCAAAATTGAAATAGAGACTTTTCAGCTCCACTTTGTATATGTGTTTTTTTATATGCCCAATTTTTAGCGCCAAATAAGAAGAAGACATAAGCTAAATTGAAATAGAGACCTTTCAGCTCCACTTATTCCTATTAGACGGTCCGAGAAACCGGGCTAAAGTTACTTAACGGGCAAGTCTAAGCAAGTCTATTCATTTTTACCTAGCTAGCTAGACACTGACTAAGCACATAATCAATTTGCAGTAAGGCACTAAATTAGTATGCAGGAACGCATTTTTACCTAGCTAGCTAGATACTGACTAGGCACATAATTAATATGCAAGAAGGCACTTTTCCCCTAGGTTATAACAATGTGTGACGTCATAGACTCGACCCTTACGCAAATCAATGATTCACCTCGACCTACCTCGACCTAACTCGACACTAACTCGACACAAACAAGGCTTGATTTTGCTGAAGCATAACTACTAACGACGATAATGGGAAAGTATGGGTGGAAGTGGGTTGAAGTGATTATAGCGGAGCTCCTTGCGCTCGCGAAGCGCGCGCGGGCGGAGCACCATAACTAAGATAATTTGGTAAACTATCCTTCCGAGAAATTTTGGTTATGACGTCAGCGTACGTCCGTCCGTACGGACTTTCCGGGTAGTGGAAAGTAGTCCGCATGGACTCTTAGGGTAGGGGAAAGTATAGATTTTTTGGCGGGAAATCTCATGGCGCAACGTCGCGCAATTGTATCGCGCAACTGGTTTTGAAAAAAGAAACTTCAAAACAACTTTCAGAGCAAAACGATTTTTCAACAGAGTCTTTATAACTTTTTATTACAACTTACGAAAGCTATTATGTCAACAAACAACAGCAGAGAGATTTTAGCGTGTAGACGACAGGTTTTAAGCAGAGAGCAAGAGTCAACACGCGTAGAGCAAGCAAAGACGATCGCCAAAGAGAGTGCGTTAGAAGTAGAAGAAGAATACAGATTTTAGCGAAGAAAGTCGGCAAGTAGAAAGAGTCAGGTAGGCTTTGGTAGATTGTGCTCGAAAAAAAAGCATATTATGCTTTTAGCAGTGCTCATATTTTTTAGAAATTATGCCAAAATTATGCTACTTTCTGAAAATTATGCTCTCTGTCACCGAAATTATGCTACTTATATTTTACACTGATTTTAAGGAAAATAAAGATCATCAGTAGCTTAACTCTATCAATTTTGACTTCAATGAACATTCATAGAGTCCACCTTCCAGTCTTACGGTCTTTAGCGTGGCAAATACGCATGTGCGCACATGATCTCGCTTTTTTGTTACTTTTAACTTCTCTTTGCCTGTGGCATGTTTTTTGGAAGCCAAGTGGTTTTTTTAAAATGCTCTTTTTAGAGCTCAATATCGCCTTACACCCATTGCAAAACAGTTTTCCATCTCGAAGACACAAATTTTCCCCTGGGAATTCTTCTATTCGATCACGAGGACTCATGTTCTTTGGATCTGAGTTACCTCTTTCCTTGTACTTTCCGGTATTACTTTTAGGAACACGTTCTCTAGGGATTAAAGCTCTCGGTACGGCACTGGAAGTGGTGGAAGTGGATGTACTCGACGACGACGCCATCTGAGGGGCCGAACCGCCGCGCCATGAGCGTGGTGGCCTGAGTCTCAGTCTTATGCACAGGGCGACCTCTGCCGCCTGCCGCACCATATTTCACCATGGGCCTTAGCTTTACACAGACCTCAATAAAAACAATTTCCAAAAACAATACAGAAATAAAATACAAACTGAATTATTCTAGAGCTATGATAAGTTTTTTTGTTTTCAACGCATACACCGTATTCACAAATGGCGGACACGCGGGAAAAAACTGGTGCCTAGTCATGAAAGCGAGGCGTTGGAGGGTAAACAAAAATTGCGAATGAAGACTTTCAGTGAACTTGCAGAGTGTTTAGCACGGATTCCACCTAAAATAACTTTGTACGGACTTCTTTTTAAATACAATTACGTGGGATGTCTTCTGCTTTTAATGTTTAGTATTGATTTGCTGTTTGCAATCAAAAGGGACGCGTAAATCTTCAAAGAAACAGGATGATTTTGTAGGTTTCCGAAGCATCAGAAGCTCGGCAAGTGGGCGATGGTTGGAGAAAAGCGGCAAACATGTTGGCCCAAACTTCACATTGAAACCGAGTTCGAAAGCCAGCTCACTGCAATTCGGTAAAACAGAAATATAAACAATGCAAATCTTGGTGGCTAGAAAAAAAGAAATAAGCGATGGATATATGGCCTACTTGTTAACGCAAGAGACGTGTGCCATTGAACAAAACAGTTCAAATCGAGATGGAAAAAAGAAAGACAGGAAAGAAGCGGTGACCGAGGTTTCGATGAAGTTATGTTTGCAAATTGGTTTTTGTTTGCCAGGACGTTATTCTATGGTCTTTATCGATGAAGGACATCAATTAGAACTATCTTTTTGGTATAAATGCAGGAGCGATCGAGTGAAGTACGCTCAAAATTTCAACTTGTTACTCGGCAGACTCGGTAAGCCGGCCACATTTCATTTCAGCGACTAATTTTCCTATTTCGTATCTTTGGCTGTTAAGAGTTTTAACTTCATGTTCCATAATATTTTAAAAGTGAAGAATACATAAATAAATAAAATGATGGTCTTCTTAAACGGATCCAGACTCGCATTTAATGATTCGAAACAGAAGCTTGCCGTGTTCAGTCCTGACACAAACATTGCCTTAAAAGTTTAACCCAGGAAAATGTGAGCTTTATACCACTTTTTTACCAAGAGTTCTCCGAGATAATGCCGTAAAGGAGACCAGGCAAATAACAAGCCATAAGATTCACACACTAGAGCGTCTAGTTTTGATAAAATTGTTTTATTTCGCAATGACAAAGAAATCAAAAGATTTTAAATTTGCACTGAATTTGCTAAGCTCTGCCAACGTACCTCTAACAATTCACTCCAAAGCGACGGAATTAATATCATCCAAAGGAAGTTGTAAATACAGACATATATAGATATGTGTAAAATGACACTGACATGAATGAATGAGTCTCGTGAATGAATCTTTCACCCGCTCTCGACTTGACCTGTTTTGAGTAATGGTGGAGGTCTCTTCCGTTGACAAGTAGGCCATATATCCGTCGCTTATTTCTTTTTTTTCTTGCCACCAATATCTGTTTTTACTTCTGTTTTACAGAATTGCAGTGAGCTGGCTTTCGTATTCGGTTTCAGAGTGAAGTTTGGGCCAACATGTTTGCCGCTTTTCTCCAGCCATCGCCCACTTGTCGAGCTTCTGCTGCTTCGGCACCTACGAAATCATCCTGTTTCCTTGAAGATATACGCGTTTCTTTTGATTGCAAACAGCAAATCAGTACTAGACATTAAAAGCTGAAGACGTCCCACGTCATTGTATTTAAAAGTTATTTTCGGTGGAATCCGTGCTAAACACTCTGCAAGTTCACTGAAAGTCTTCATTCGCAATTTTTGTTTACCCTCCAACGCCTCGCTTTCATGACTAGGCACCAGTTTTTCCCCGCGTGTCCGCCATTTGTGAATACGGTGTATAAAAGCTCGGATTATGCCAGCAGTGCTAAACTGAAATAAAAGCTTTAAATAATGTTCGTTTTGCTGAATTATGCTTAAAATTATGCTAGCACAATCTACCAAAGCCTAGAGTCAGGGCGAGAAGAAGGAGAGAAAATTATAGTGAAAAACGCCGGCAAGCAGACTGGAGACAGAGCTAGAAAGAATTGACAAAGGCAAAGGGAAAGAGAAATACAAAGGCAAAGAGAACGGCAGCAAGATAATGACATGATGACAGAAAGTGCTGTGTTAATGTCACTATGGCCCCGCGCTATTAACATTTTGATTTCAAACTGATCTCGGACGCGAAAATTCAGCCAGTCATTTAAAAATACAAGCAGGGAAGACAGAGGCTTTTCACTTTTCTCACCATAGTCACGCGTTGATCACGCTCTACCACCGTCTAATTTTTATGCTCTGATTGGTCAAAATTTGACAGGTGAGTTCATGCAGAAAATTTATACAGCATCTTGAAACTTGTTTACTTTGACAGCTGAAGCTGACAGAGTTTTTTTGTCAACTTGTAATGTTTTTTACTGGCTTTTTCCACTGGATCCATAAAATGAAATACAGCTGCTATCAACAGTCTTCTGTTACTCATGGCTGGTTTGTTTATTGAATTTTTGGTTGAGAAAAGCGCCGCTTGTCAAAGTTGGAAATCCGATTTCGGATGACATCGTTTTCGTGTTTCACCTTGCTGGATGCGGGCTGAAAAGTCCCTCAAGCGATTCTGGCCTTACTTGATAGCTTTCAGGAGCTGCATCTCGAATGGTAAGCCTGAGTAATTATTGTATACAGTGTATGTGTTTGTTTTTTTATATCTAATTTCATGAAGTCGAGCGCAGTTTATGAGGCTAGTTTATGCACGTTTGTATTAAGATGTGAGACAATGATCTGATCTAGTATGAGGTTTGATATAAGCTTACAGAGCTTTAAAAAGCCTTTAGTCGATATTTTCTCTGCGCAAATAGAAAGAAAAAACGTTCCGAAGAGTATTTAGTTATAATTTTGGGTCTAGAAAGAAAGCTTTGAGCGATTTTCTTGCCTCGAGTTCATCTTTGAAAACAGTAAACACCAGGAAGCTGGCTAAAAGCTTTAAGTTTAAGCTTGAAGACTCAGGATACTTAGAGATGCTTTAATACTTGTCTTCGTGAATGAAAATTGTTGTCTCTGTAAATGTTTCACCGCATTACATTTCTTTTATTGATTGTTAGTGGTCTCTCGCAATTTTAATTGCTTTGCCGTTTGTTTTCAGTCGTTCATAAACATCGCTTGCAGGAGTACTCAAAATGCCGCGCGTATCAAACGCTTTTTAAGATTACACATCCTTATAAAACCATTAAATAAAAAAAATAAACACAATAAATTCTTCATTATGTTGAAGCGTAACTCTTTTAATGTTCACTGAAAATTTGGCGCTTGTCAAAAGTGAGAACCGGCTGGCCGTATAGGTGATTTTGGAAATTTTTGGAACGGTTTTGCTAAAAGCCCACGCGTGCTTCATACGATTCTGAACATTGAATGAGTGCAATTTGTATTGAAAAATTGTGAAACACTGCATTTTGTCTGAGGTCTGTATGATAAAAACAGCGCCTCATATTCCTGTTTCACCTCAGATGTGATGTATAAAAAGTATGAAATGCTGGTCTACACGCACCCAGAGTTGTTGGCAAGATTTTGTTTATAAGTAAACTTGTCGAAAGCAAAAAACTCGGCCTGATTTGTTTTCCAAGAATTCGTTTTCCAGCCTAATCTGTGATCAAGAGCCATTATGGCTCTTAAATGTGATCGAAGATGATTGCTATTTTTTGGGTGTATATATACGGCTAACAATTCGATGTAGGACTTTTTTTCACTCTAAAATCACTTAGCCTTAGCTTTCCCTAAAAAGTCACATATGTGCCATTAAGTTCACTGATTTGTGGATTACAACTTTATTGTTTGATTTAAATCATAAATTTATTAATGGGAGCTTCGCTTTTAGCCCTGGCTAAATCTATATATTAGTGTCGTTGATGGCGACCGTAGATACTACAGGGTAAGCAATAATGACCTGAAACATCAAAGAAGCTAGATCTACACATTCCTCGAGTAAACATTCTTTTTATTATTATTTTCAATAGAGATCAAACAAACTCCATCACTACAGTATGTGAGCCTTGGTCCGCGACTTTTCCGAACATGATTAAATATTTCGTGGAGAAATAGAATACGGAGGAAAATTAAAGGTCTAATGATTTAATGATAATCATTCTTTCATATGACGAAGTTTCGGCTTTCCTGCTTTCGGTAAAGGCGTAGCCTGGGTGGCAGGCGTTTGAAAGGGAAGGGAAAGGGGGTTTTGGGCGCGAGCGAAACGCGAGGGGCGCGCGCCCCTCGATTTTCTCTCGCACCTAAATCTCCCTTTCCCTTCCCTTTCAATCGCCTGCCACGCGGTCGATCGCAGTCGATCGATTCAGGAAGAAAACCTAAAGAATACTCGAGGAAAACTTAAAGCCCGGGGGATATCCTGTTTCGTATAGAAAGTCACGTTTTGCAAGCGAAGAGTATGAATTAATGCAACTGAAGGTAAAAATTTCTGTGAATTGAAGAGATACGTTTCTCAGAATATTTCAAGTAATTCCTGGAACTCTACGTTAAATAACAGGCGGTTTGTGTCACGAGATTCGACCTATTAGAATGCGTTATTTGTAGAGTGATTTTCGCGCTTGCGAAGAGCCGTTTTCAGAGGTGTATATGGTGAAATTTTCGTTTTATTCCAAGCTTGTGTAGGTAATTTCGACACTATACGGCCGCGAAAAGTTGTCGGAACACTTTATCTTGATAGTAGTCACGTTACTTTAAAAATATTTTGCTTTCTTGAGCGTTTGTGGCATGTTTGAATTGCTCGGTCATGTACAAGCCGCCATGATGATTTGAGTGCTGTTTTTGCCGTTCTTCTTGGATTCATTGCTGGCTACTGTTAGCGGTTTTATCGGATTTTTTTGGTCATCGTAGTACTTCAACCTTTCTTCTTTGCAAATTTCGGGGTCTACCCGGGTCTACACCCGATATTTTTTCCGTTATGAACCGTTGAAAGTGTCTTGGAATTACGAGATCGTCTCAACCAAGTAACACAACTCCCGGGAAACGGGCTGAGAAAACATGCCGAAGCGGAAGCTGACGTGAAACGAGAAACGCCAAATCCAGGAAGAGTTTGTTCCATTTTAAACGGGAAAAATAAGTTTGAATATTGTCACGACCTTTGGAAACAAAACATTTTTCATAACCCAGTGCGGAAACTGAAAGCGTGACTTTAAAATAATTTGGATGACGTGTGTGCTATGTGTATGCAAATCTTTTTGTAAGCTTCACGTGAGGGATTAAATTGTTACAAATCTCTACCAAAACACAAAACCATTATCGAAGATCTAGCCAACATACAGGATTTTTAAAACTGCGAGGCTAGGTCTATAACAGAATCGACACACCGCCCTCACTTCATGGACGAATAGACAAGATCGCGGTTTATTTCTGCGGCTGTAACTTCGGTGACGGAAATTACCATTGTGCTGTAGCTGTTCCGCTCTTTCGGTCTGTTTTCCCCTTGCCTGATAGAAGATTTATTTGCGCATAAGGATTACAAACGGGCACTGTTTGATTTCTCACCTTGCTGTTTGCTCGCTCTCCCCCTCCTTGGCGGTGATAAAGTCCATCAAATATATAAACTCTACTGATGGACGAATTTTTTTCAGTTAAGCAAACCCAGGTATGAACTATAGATCTCTTTCACTCTGAGACAAAAAAAAATAGACATATAAACCAAACAGTACATAAAATCTTCTGAGAAGCAGGAAATCGTCGCTTGAGGTGATTCCCTGGTTTTGCACTGCGCATCTCTTACTGCGCATAACAAGATGGCCGCCGTAAATAAGAGCATGTGAAGTAAGATTATTAAAATGAAGTTGACCGAAGAGAAACGCTATTGCAATTTTTGCTTGCGGTTGTTTCTTGCCGAGGTGAGACTCAATGTGGTGGGAATGTCCATAACGTAAGCAGTACGCGTTTTGCGGAGTTCGACTTCCTCACGGAGAACCTCGATAGTGGATGTTTAATTTGTGCTTATTCACTTTGATTTTCATTTAAACGCTTTCTTTATCACACTGTGTCCTAAATGTGATATCTCGATGTAAATTCTGTAAAAACGGATTTTTTAATACTTTCTTCCCCCTTTCGCATACTTCAGGGCGGAAAAACGTTCTGCGCAAGCTTCTGCGCATCCCTTATCGCAGGCTCAAGGCGGGCTTTTCTGTGTGTCAATTGTGTTTGTTTGTTGCTGGAGTTCTGAAAGAAATGCACGAGGTGCGAACGTTTGCTCCCTATAAAGCATTTTTATTTCACATGTTTGCTTTTTTTTCGTCGCATGAAAATTACTTTGGATTCAGAACAACCAATATTAAAGGAAAAACGGATGATTCCGTCAGTCTGAGGTGGAATAGAGGTTTTTGAACATTTCTTAAGAGGCGAGTTTTTTTCTGATTGTGCGTCCGATTAATTTATGAGTTGATTTTGCGGGGTTGAATTAAAACCCGCTTGTATTCTGTTGTTAGTAGTTACGGTTACTTTTTTACATGCCCAGATTTATTACCTTTGCAGAACCAGCTTTATCTTTGTCTTCAGTCAAAGAACCATTTTGCTGTTATAACGCATCAGAGTGAACAAACTTGCGCTCTTATTAAACTTTCTCGGAGATAGAAGGCCAGCAAGCTTACTCAAGATAATTTTTCTGTTTCTCAAGTAATAATAGTCAGAGTTTTTTCATTTTTCATTACATAGTATTGTTTTCCAGTGAACTGTGAAAGTTTCTGTTCTTTCTGAAGAATAACTTTCTGTACGCAATTTTTCCTTTTCACTCGCTGTGAAGTAGAGAACGATAACTCCCGGCAGTGACTTCAAAACAATTGACTCTTTTCTCGTAAACAATTAATGCAGCTTGATTTGACTGAGGTGAGCAAAACAAACCCTTATGTGCAATGTTCTGTATTTTCTAATGATCGGCTGAGTTTAATTTGCTTAAACGAAGACCCTCGCATGGACCGGTTAACCTTATTGAAAATAGATAAATGGTGAATCATGGCTTGGCTGCCAAGTTGCAACTGATCTTTTGCTTTTAAGATCTTTAGGTAGGTTGCACAGAAAATTCATTTCTTCATTGTCAGCAAGAAGTTTTTGAAATAATGTAACTTTAACTTTGTTTGAAGGACATCCTACTTACGCGTTGGTTTTTGACAGATGTTATGCGTGTTCAACGTGACAACACAAAGCAAAATTTATATATCTGCGCGAAACGAGCAAGTTTAAAAAACTATAGTTGCTTTGAAACCGATTTTTGGGAGGATTTTACTGGATAAAGATTGACCTTTTTTCTGCCCTCATATCTACGCAATAACTTCTACATTGAGGATTTTGTTTATATTTTAGTGATCTGCGAAACTACGAGTGTCCGATCGAGCGAGGGTTTAAAATGTCAGCTCAAGTGAGACAAAGTTCAGTGACTTCAAACACATTGTGGGCAAGCGTTAATTTTTTTGGGCAAATCACTGTCCAAAGATATGTTGTTTTTGTGTCCACAGTGGAGCTCCGGACCTTATATATCCAGGAACTTCCTTATATGAACACATTTCGTGAATGCATCTTGAAAAAAATAGGACCACGCATGCACATTTCCAGTACAACGCAAGGAAATTAATGTCGTTAAAGTCCGTTTTACTATGAGGTATTCTTCGAGAAAATTAAGTAACGACAAGGTTATAACCACAGCTTGCAACTTTTGAAGACAAATTGCCTGTTCTTTCCAGGTTATGAGTGGAAACATTTTATTTTTAGGCAATAAAATATTTGAAATCCCGCCATTTTTTCAGACCCGGCCAGGGGATCTGGGCCAAAAAGTTCACGCATGCTCATTACGTTTTTCCGCCCTGAATTCGCATACATTCTATTTTGAAACTCGCCCCAGTCCTCTCTTAAAAATCAGGGAAAATGCATTTGGTGCGCACTTTCTGCAGCTCTACCGCAAAAAAGAGTACGGTGACCCCCATTTTTTATTTCATGATTTTAATAAGGACAGTGCTTCCTTTCGGTGAGAAAAAAATTGGCACCAATCTATGTTCAGTTTTTTGGTAATTTTACTAAATTGTACGGATTTAGCTATCACGTGTCGAATAGCGCGTGTCCAATTAAATTCTACTTTGGAGCGTAAAGTAAAAACAAGAGCATTAAAAGGCATTTTTCTGGTACGTAAGTGGATAAATGCTGTGCGATACCACATACATCATTGAAAAAATCTTTCCTTTTTGTCTTGTTTTGGGCTGCGCGCGGTTTTTGTCAAAGGGTCCAAAATAGCCGTATTTGTCAGCATTGTGACGTCAAAAAGAGCACGGTGACCCCCACTTTTTATTACCCTTTTATCATCTTCTTGACTTGTTACATCAGTGTACCAAGTTTCATGTACAATCTTCTTTTACTAGGGAATCACAATGCACCTTAAAATCGGCCAGATCGCACCTTCAATCGTGTCCGAATCGAGATAAACTTATTGAAATTGCCTTAAGAAGCTCATAGAAAGCATCCAAGGCCACTATGAGATCTTGAAAATTCTCCAAATCGCTCTCTTTCGTAATGTTTTTCAGAAAAGGAAGCAGTGTTTTGATCCCTGGGTTTGATTCATCTCTCTCACAAGATGCGAAGTCGACCGTTTCACGATTGAAATGACGGACAGCAACAATTTTACCCATGAACCTGTGTGGGCATGACGCACACCGCCTGGGTAAATAAAGTCGGTGTTTTGGCTAAATTTGTATTTATCCAAGCTTTGTTGTAGTTATTTAATTGATGAATAGCTATTTGTTCTCCCTTGGTACTAAAACGTTTTACAGACGAGGGAACCAAAAATTGAAAATGATTTGATAAGTTCGCGAAACGCTCATGTATGAACCAGTTAAGTTTAATATTGAACTCGATTTGAAATTCACTCTTTCACTCACTTCATCGCTTACCGACGACAGGTTTCAGACAATTACTTTAATTTACACCACACAATACTCAAAAAAGAAGAAGACGAAAAGAAAGAACAAAGTAGGGGCCTTCACGACGATATTCGCGGTAGGTTAATTGCCCTTCCAGTTCTCAACCCCGCCCGACAGCGGTGAGGGTAAAAGGTGGAATGAGTTTGCGGAATGGCATGTGGCATGGCTTGCGGAATGACATAATTGTGTGGAATGTAATATATGCAGAATGACTTAAAGAAAGAAAATTAAACTGAAAATTGCGCCCTTTTTTGGCGCCAATCAATTCACAAGTAGCCGTAGCAGTAATGTTGCGTGCTCAACTACGATGACAATCGAAAAGCCAGGAAAGACTCGTTGATTTCTAACGGTCGATTAGCTTTTTGTTCAGCCACAAAGATCTACTTGCCTTTATTAGTCGGGCTGCTGGCAGCACCGATACTACATCACGAAAGTCGGCCATTGAAGAAAAGATGTTTTAGCTGCGTGGTGAAGTTTCAGGCACGCGAAGCTAACAGCTGGCCGAGAAGCGCGAGCTCGAATCCTGGCAATCGAGTCTGTGTGCTTTTTGTCTTTCTTTCTTTCCTTTCCTTTTCTTTCCTTCCTACTAGTAGCATTTTTTCTCCTTTACCTTTATTAAGTTAGTAATGCCGGTTCGGCATTTCACTAACTGTTTAAAAATGTTTATGACTTTGCTAGTTCAAACATTCTCACGTTTTTTTCGTGCTGCTTACATGAGTCGCGGACCAAGGACCATAGAGCACGGTCGCCTTTTTTAGAATTACAAGCAAAATACTTAAGGTTCGAACTTGCAACTTCACAAATATTGAGAGGAACGTAAAAGCTATCTTCATTGCAAGGGTTATTTCAGCTCGTTACGATTTGATCCAGGTAAAATATTAATGATAATAATTTTTAGTCGCGGACCAAGGACCACACACTTTACTGCTTGTATTGGCAGCTTTCGTTTCCTGTTTACCCCCTTGGACAATGCAGTGATACTTACGTGCTCTAGCTTGCTTGCAAAAGACGGCCAGAATCGTGAATAAAATAAATTGTACAGCTCATCTCGGAGAGGCTCGAAACCTTTCCAGTACAAAGTAATAAACTACTTTCACGTGCGTCTCAAGTGTGCTATAGCATAAAATTTGTACCGACAACAACGACTGAGCTATCCTGAAGTGAATGCATTTCCTTACGAGTTTGGGCATAATGTGATTAAGACGCTCACTCATTCAGTCATCTGAAAACTACCACACCTTGACACATACCCTTTTCGAGGAAAGATATTCCATTCCTCTGCAGACCTGATAAGAGAAGGAAACCAGGTCCATGTACGTCAGTGGTGAACCGCTCTCTCTCACTGGCCTTCTCTCTCTCAACGCTGTTAATACTGTGGGGTATTCCCTGGTTGGCCTCCTGTCTCTCAAAAATTGTCTTAAGTTACCATTTGGAGCGTATTCTACAACTATATACAGCGGACCTGAGGAAAGAGAAATGATAACAGTTTACCATTTTAAAAATGCATTTTTCTATTAAAAAAAAAAACACGTCTAATTTTGCGAAATCTTGGAAATTCTTTTTTTTGTCTTGTTGAAATGATCTGCAATGTTCTTACTTTAAGTAATATATAACTTCCGAATACCTACCGTGATTTAAGCAAACACAAGTGCAGACGTGAATAAAAGTGCTTTTATATTTTTGTCTCAGGCTGGATACAATGTTCTCATAACCATTTTTCAATCTTAGCCATAACGTTATGATAAAAAGATTCCCCAGCATGGCAAAGAGAGTCAGTCAAGTATACAGAAGGGATAAATTCTCCCTTGTTTGCGGTAAAAGAAAACTCCAATTTCTCCACTCGGTCAAAGACCAGTCGCGGCAGTTAAACATGACATGTTTTCTCCGTCAACTAACCTCCTTGAGTGCAGGCTGCAATCAAATTGATTATGTTCTTGTGTTTTCCAATGGTCTTCATTAGCTCCAACTCTGATATAAAATCTGTGTGTTGCTGTTCCGTGGTATTCTCTGAAATACAAGAGATTGGCATTACAGTCCTAATGCTAAATATTTAAGTATTCTATGACCTCCCCCACGCTAATTTGTTTTCGTTTGAAAAAAAAACGCATTTTCAGGTGTTCTGGCGTTGTGCTCATAGTACAAAAATGGAAGTTTTTGAAGACCTCCAGCACGTTTCTAAACACTTGTCTACTCATACATGTACTTTTAACAAGTCAAATATGGCGAGAAGTAGTAGAGTCGGGGTCAAAAGGTGTACACTTACAGAGGGATCACGTCGCTCGCCCTGCGTAGTCCACGAGGGCAAAAAAAGTATACACATGCGGGCATCTCTTCTCGAGAATGAATTTGCCGATAATGCCGCACACCCTGGCTGCGGGTCCGGCCACGGCGAACAGTTTTCTCGCATTTGCTTTGGAGCACACAGATCGCGAGCAGCATATTAGAGATTGGCAAAATGTTTGCATAATGGCTTCAAAGAACGCTCTGAGTTCCGATTTTACGACGGACGATGATGTGGAGTGGCCTCTGAAGGAAGGGAATGCAGAAACATCACTTCAAACTGTGATTTAAAATATTTTGGGTGAACCGATCGCCACCGAAACAAAGCACAGGCTTCTGAGCCTGCTTTTTCCCGGGGCATATCAGCCAAAACGGCCTATGGGAACCAAAAATATTCAAGACACCAAACCTGCAAGGGGGTGAAAAGATTTGATCCCTTTCATTCGAAGCATTATGAAGAAGACGAATCAGCGCCAACAAAGTGGATTGATATTTTGGAAGGACGTGCCGAAGCTACACTTCCACCTCTTTAGAATAACCTGATTGCGGAATTTTCAGGGGAGGATGAAGTGGAAAGGGGAAGAAGAATCGCGAAATGGCGTTTTTTCAAAGATGTAAACAACGATTTGACTCCAAGAATGTCGGAAGCGAGACTGTGTTTGGAAGAACAAGAAGAAAACCGCCCCCAGAGCAAAAACATAGAGCGCCCAGACACAAATATGGGTTTTTAAGGCGAACCTTATGGTTGAGGTACAAATTATCGAGGATCTGCAAGCTCCTTTGCATGCTGGAGAGGGGCGATTGCCAGATTGGCTTCGAACCAAAAGAGGTTTGTTGGCGCTTGATAATTACGCCGAAGAGCTTTGTATTTTCAGATGCATTGCGGTTCATCAAGGTGCGCATCGTGTTCGTAACACAAGAAAAACTCGCGAGTTGGCCGCAAGCATTATCGACAAGAATCGAGTTCGAGGACAGATATACAAAAGGCATTTTCCTTTTATCGAAAATCATTTCCAGCAGGGGATTGCAGGATATGAAATTGACGCTGAAGGAGCCTTTGCTTTGAAATATTTACCTTCACGCTTTGACAAGATGCGGGTGCCCCAGATGGACATCGGCATTTACGAAGAGCACGCTTTGTTGATCACGAAGCCCGACAAAGTGACGAAACATTATGTATGTGCCGAATGTCAAGCAAGATTCTCCAAAGCATGCCATTTGCTGCGGCATGCAGAGGTTTGTACGAGAGGAATGTCTAAGGTGGTGTGTCGAAGAGAGCGAATCCAGCCGCCCGAAACTGCTTACGAAAAAGCATTCTACGGCCACAGGGAGTATGCGGGAAAAGTGGTCAGTTGGATGGAACACGAGGTCCAACGGAGGGGTGTGCATATCCATCATCAAATGTGTGGCCAAGCTGGGGAAAGAAGAATTGCAGGATATCCAGGGGATGGTTTTTGTTGTGAAACAAACGAGGTGTTTCAGTTCCATGGCTGCCATTGGCATGGCTGGCCAGAGTGTTTTCCAGGACGGCGCAAGGAAGTGGTCGCTTTCGAAAAAACAAAGCAAGGCAGGAGAGGGCTGACACGAGAGATGCAGTTTGCAAGAACGTTGGATAGAAAGAGAGCGATTCTTGACGAGGGTTTCGAACTGATCGAGTGTTGGGAGCACGATTTCAAAGAAAGACCACTGTATCCGAAAAAGAAAAAGGACACTTTTCCGCATGCCATAGTGTTCGATGTCGGCGCGAGGCGTTGCTGGACACGAGCAAACGCAAGCAGGCGATCCAGGATACGTAGTTCGAAAGCGAGCACGTACCGATGTCTGTTTCGTTGGCAAACAATTTGGATAGAGCGCAAGAGCACATCAGCAGCAAAGATCCCAAAGAGCTGATCCGGAGATTCTGAGAGGCGCTTGAGTGTCGGGCCGCGGCCATCGAAGAAGACATGCGGCGATACATTCCAGAGGAAATCGAATTTCTGCCGAAGCAGCAACAAAAACGCAATGTTTTTTTTCATACCCTAGTTTTGGGTTTCAACTCCGGGCAATGTGATTTGATTCTAATAAAAAAAAAAGCCTTTTGTGACCCAAATCCCCCAAGACAGTGATGTCAAACTGGCCAAAAAACAGAACAAGGTCATGTACAGGTCAACGGCGACGTTTCTGAAAATCTGTTGCTACATCAGCCCCGGCACCGGTCATGAAAAATGAGTGAAAACGTACGGCGCCAAGCTCTCCAAATTGTGGTTTCCCTACGAGTGGTTTGACACAGCCGAAAAGTTGGACTTCCCGAGGCTGCCGCCGCACGAAGAGTGGTTTTCCAAGCTGAAAAATAAGATGACTCTCTCCGAAGAAGCGTACAGGGCTAGTCAGCGAATCTGGCAGGAAAAAGGGATGCGAACTTTTAAGGACTTGTTGCGCTTTCACAACAATCTGGATTTCGAGCCTTTTCTTGAAGCCTTGGGGTCAATCCGAGATTCCTACACCGGGCTGGGAACAGATATTTTCAAAGATGCGGTACCTCTGCCGGGAGTCTCGATGAAATATCTCCTGCGTCGTACGCTTAACAAAAGAGACGGAGTTGTACGCCCCAGGGGAGAAGGCCTACGAAATTCTCAAAGGCGCGGTTGTCAGGGGAGCCGAGCCAGGTGTTTTGTCGAAAACGACAATGCGTACGCACAAGTTCTAAGAAGCGAAGATGTGTCCAAGAGTTCTGGCCTACGACGCCAACGCGCTGTATCCAAGCACAATGGAGGTCGTTGCGCAATGGGCGCAAACGCCACGGAGCGACGAAAAGTTTATCAAAGTTCTGCAGAGAGACAGATGGTTTGGATTCGCCTACGTGGACATCGAGGTGCCAAGAGAGTTATGGACGAAGTTCGAAGAAATGCCGCCGTTGTTTTAAAACAAGCCGTTCCAAGCGAGTCTATACCGCAGCACATGAAAGACTACTTGGCAAACAGCAAACGCAAACCCGACGAACGAGAACTGGTTGGCAGCCTTTCAGCCCAAAAGATTCTGTTGCACGTGCCGCTGCTGAAATGGTATCTCTACCATAGTTTGAAAATTACAACTGTTCACCAAACCATTGATTATGTTCCGCAAAAAATCTTCACGTTCTTCGTGAACAAAGTTACGGAGAACAGGGGTAAGGGCGATCAAAATTCAGAGCAGGCATTGTTTGCCGAGGTATTCAAGCTTTTGGGGAACAGCTCGTTTGGTAAGGTGATCGACGCTTTGGAAAGGCACACGATCATGAAGTACCCAAGGAGTGAAAGCGCCTTGAGGAAACATCTGCGCTCGGTGTGGCTTCAAGATTTGGAAGAGATTGGCGAGCCGATCGACTATCATCTCTCAAGCGGCGGAAGCTCGGTGTCGGCATGCACGATAAGCAGCTCTTAGCGAACGAAGCCACGTTTGAGCCCATCGTGCAAATAACACAAAACGGCTTATTAGATTTGGTGACGGTTTTTCGATGTGTTAGACTTTCAAAGACCAGATCGGATCTGTGGCTCTTTTCCCTCCGCCTTTAAGCTTGCCGGGTTGGTAGAGATAGCGCACAGCTGTATCGGAAAGGAGCCATTTTTTCCCGCACACTAACAGGTCTGTGATAAGGAATAGAGGGTTTGGAATAAACGGCTTTTTCTTTGATGGCCGCAACGGGTTTTTTGCCTGTGAGGCGAGTGACTTCTCCGCTCAGAGCAGAGACCAATACGGGAAGCCGAACGACCCATTCGGAATATCTTTGGCTTTCAGGAGGTTGCATTTCAACACCATATTGGTGCCCGAACAGGCGCTTAGCAAGGGTGCGGTTATATCTTTTCACCATCGCTTGGTCCCGGTGAATCTTCGTGCGCCCACGGCGAATGTTTGTTTTGTGTTTTTCCATTTCTTTCGTGACGGAGCCCATGAATTCTATGCCAAGGTCGACCCGACGCAGCTGTGGCCATTTCAAAGTCCCGCGTTTGTAATTAACGTTGTATTTAAAATTACATTCTAATTACAAACACTAAAATGACAGCTGTGTATACTCACTAAAAATAATTTAATTTATGCTCCCTGCGAAGACAATATTTACATGACTTCGCAAAAAGCATTATCTCTATAAAATGACTTAAAAAGGTCTAAGCTTTCCTGTTCTCTTGCTTCCATTGGAAGTTTATTCCAGAGGACCGATCCTCTGTAGTGAAGGCTATGTTTCCCTATCTCTATCTTGGGTTTAGGAAGATACAAGTCTACTCATGAATTTCTTAGATTATAAGAGTGAATACGTCAGAGAGATTCATCATACGGCGGGGAGATGTTATGAGTTATTTTGTACATTAGAATAACGAATTGTCTTACTCTTGTATCTTCTAGTACTTCCAAACCCAGTTTATCCAATAAATCTTTAAATCGTGTTTCATTATTTGAAAAAATCACCATTCTAGCAGCTCTATTTTGGAGTTTCTGAAGTTTTTTTGATAATACTTTCCCTATATATACCCATACACAGCTAAAGCAATCAAGACAGGGCACGATAAGGGCTTTGTACACGGTTTCTCTAGTTTTGAACGATATGGTTCGACTTCCGCTTTATAGTCAGTTTATCCAATAAATCTTTAAATCGTGTTTAATTATTTGAAAAAATCACCATTCTAGCAGCTCTATTTTGGAGTTTCTGAAGTTTTTTTGATAATACTTTCCCTATATATCCCCATACACAGCTAAAGCAATCAAAACAGGGCACGATAAGGGCTTTGTACATGTTTTCTCTAGTTTTGAACGATATCGTTCGACTTCCGCTTTATAGTCAGGTCTCTTAAGGTCAGGATCGTTACAGAGTTGACAAAAGCACCAAACTTTGCACAGCGATAGCTTATTGCAGTACCATGAATATTAGAGGGGGTGCCCAATGCAAATATGCCACTGAAGCGTGCTAAACAGGATTTAATTATTGTAAATTTCACCGGTTGGGGTCCATGTGGTGTTTTGATTGAAAATTGTTATTTTATACCTTAAATCACTCAATCTTCTCTTCTCCTTTTCTAATGTATTTCAATTAGAGGAGGCCTCATTGTGTGGCTTAAACCTTATTTATCAAGTATTACTTGTCATTACCTGTCACTTTAAGCTAAAGAAGGTGTATGGCATAGCGATTCACACACAAAATTTCAGAAAAAAGAAATTGTCAGAGAGTCTGTTGTATCACATATTATCAGGGATTTATGACAGCTGTTCATGAAGAGCAAATAACGAAATGACAGAACCCAAAATAGTTCTTTCCTAAGGAGGTAATTAATTTTCAGCTTAACATAGACCTGGATGCCTTTCAGTCTCTCTTTATCTGCTGGACACACGTGCATATTTTGACAGAGAAGCAAGCACCGAGGAACAAGTCATATCATTTACGATTTCCGCAGTTTGTCTAAGCTTTGCAAAGCAAAAACAAACAAGAAAGAATCTGGTCTCATAAACGAAAAAAAGAAATAAGTTAGCCCAAGCTTCAAAAAACAGCACAGTTTATCATGAAGCCTCTAACATCTGGCACTGAAGCACACATGTCCAAAAATAATAACAGCTTATCAAGTCGTAAAAGTGAGACTCAAGTGGTACAAGATTGACTCAAATGATAAATGGTGAATGGTTTAACTGCTGAAACTGTAGAAAGGGGACCGGGCTAACTTTTAGGGCCTGTTTACATGGAGGAGGGGGACCCCAGGTAGGCATGGTAACCCACTTAGGTGGGGTAACCCGCCTGTCCATATAATCTCTCATTTTAATTTGATCACGTTTACATGATAGGTGGGGTGACCCTTCAAGGTGGGTAGCCCGGTCTGCCACACTAGGTAATCCTCTCAGCTGAGGTCAAATTTTGCCATATCAACGTTTCAAGGTGAGGTAACCCAGGCTAGTCGTGGTTGGATTCGTGCTGATGCATCAAATTCGCGCAAAATTCACTTTGGCGCTGGGTGGCTTCACATAATTATTAAAGGTGACAAACCTGAAGGTTGCAGCAAGAGCAGCAAGTGAGCGTACACGTGGTTTTCTTGTTTACGTGCTTAGCGACCATTCAATAATCTTGAGAATCGAAACTGCACCCCAGGATGGTGGGGTTGTAAGATTGCATGTAAAGGAGGGTTATTTTTTTACCTCACCTAAGCAGGTTACCTCACCTACCTGGGGTCCCCCACCTTTATGTTAACAGGCCCTACTGAAGTCCCAGGAACCGTGAAACTGGTAATAAACGGTATGACCAACCGGGACTAGCTGTGATACTACTTCCATCTTCAAGAACGTCAGCATAGCAGCCAAAGGAGCCGTTTAATATATCGGTGTAACACGAATATTAGATTGCGGTTGTTTCGTGCGTCTCGTTTTGTGACTTTTTTTGTGTTCGTTTTTGTCACCATCTATAAATTTCAATCATGTTAAAATCACCCCTACTAACAAAATATTTCGTAAAACTCTTTAGAATGAAATTCAGCAATAAAAACAAGGTGTGACCAGAAGCCGATTTCTAGGCTCCTGGTGTGGCAACGTAGGCATAAGTGAATGCAAAGTTTTGTGGTATGTAATCTGTCAGAAATCTGTTTGAGTGGTCAAAGTTGGGGCTGATGGGTTTCTTTTTCATGACCACTCCATTATTATAAGGGACCAGGCCATAATTATTGTTGACCCTTGCTTTTTTTGGCATTTTCTGTAATTTTCCACAGCATTATTTTGTGAAAAGTTGGTAACTGAATTGCTCTTGACGAATTCATGATCGTAAGATTTCGTAACCACGGGGAATTCGCCTAATTGCATCAAAGAAATTACATTCATTTTCATAAATGATGCATCATTGGTTGGCCAAATGAGTTCTTGCTCCTGTAGATTTCAGCTCTTCTGAAGTTAATTTATTTGTAAATTGTAACGCACGCGACGACCTTCCCTTTTTTAAAAAGGTCGTATAGACCTACCATTAACACTCTGGTGCAAAGGCTCTTAAGTGAATGAGCTCCTAAAAAGGTGTCTAGGCATGCAGGATCCTCATACACTTCTTTTTAAATGCAAATGCGTAAAAAAAGAAAGAGTGTTAAAAATTCCTAGAAAAAGGTAAAGCGACCATATTTTACGTCAATAACTCGTGACAGTAATAATAACTGATAAACTTGAGGTCGACGGTGTGCCTCTTTTACCTCCCCCCTCTCTATTAATGCTCCGTTTTAAGGGTATTCAAAGCTATCAAAGCTACACAGAAAGGAGAGAAGTTGAAATAGGGATGTGTTGACACCGGCGATCGAACCCGGGACCTCGCGCACTGAAGGCTGCGAACTAACCAACTGTGCCCCCCTTGCTCCTCCTTTTCCCCCTGAGGACGAGGCTGACATGTTTTAATCATTATCTCAAGGACAGGGTTACCAACGAAGCAAATTATAATCTAATCTTAGCTACACAATTACAAAGTGGGCGCATTGTCAGTTACGGTTCATGAGGTCGTTCACGTAGCATGTCAAAATTTAACGATTCTATCGTTTAGGATGTGATACATTTGGATTTTACGTTATTGTATGACGTCTTTGAAACCTGGCTTTGTGATCTGTTTACATTGATATGTAATGATATTATCACTCGCAAGTCTTAGCAGTGTCACTCATAGCCGCACGGTGAACATGGCCACATTTATCGTGTGCAGACTGGGCACTAGTCAGTATTATGTACATGTAAAACTATTATGAATAGTGTAACAACAACTAAACATTACCAAATAAAAAACTTAAAAATTTGAAACAAATGTTTTTGGGGAAATCAAACAAGAAGAATACTCACCACAGGGAACCCTTTTATCTGTAATTAGAACAATTTGTAACGGGCACGCCCTCCAGTATTAATCGGTAGGTGCTAAGGAAGCTCTGTGCTAAATTTGACACTTTTGTCACGTCTGTAACGATCCGGCCTATATTTTGCACTAAGAGACCTGACTATTAGAACTGATCGGCCTGCCGATATCTTTTTTCAAATCTCATCAATGTGTGTTTTCCAGATGATATTTTCATCAATTGAGACTCCAAGAGATTTATAAACAATCATCCTTTCCATGGGTATGTTATTAACCTTAACTCTGAAATTGTCTGACAGTAGTTCAAGTTTAGGACGACTCCCAATCAACATGTATTTGGTCTTTTTGACATTTAGAGTAAGCTTATTCACCTTAAGCCATGTCGGAATTTTGCTTAGATCGGAATTCATTTTAACTTGTAAAGTATCAGCATTTTCGGCTGAGCACGTTAAAGTGGTGTCATCCGCATACATTCTGGGCCTTGAGTACAGTTGGCACAAGGGAAGGTTATTTATATATAAAACAAACAAGAGGGGCCAAGAATTGATCCTTGAGGAATTCCACTTGTTAACAGACAGAAATCAGAAACTTCACTGTTAACTTTTCTTTTTTCGCCCAGTAATGATTTAAACCATGCTAGTGTTTGGGATCTAACTCCATAAAACTCGAGTTTCTGTAGGAGAATAACATGGTCCATGGTGTCAAAGGCTCTCTTTAGATCCAAAAATATCACAACATTTAGGAGAGATATAATCAATGTTCTTAATCCGCTCATTTGTGTCCTCTAATGCACCTATCAATGTCATGCCGGCGTGGGGGGGAGGGGGAGGCAGGGCATGGGGTGGGGATTTGATTGTCTTTGTTGACCTTGGGGTAGGGCATTTGACTGATCTTCTTCTCCCAGGGGAGGATTTGAATCTTTCTTCGCTCGACATGGAGATATTTGACTGCCGACTCGGACGAAAAAGACTGAGACCGAACATATGTTTCCCACTTCCACGCTTCGCGCATGCGCCGTACGGTCTGGAAAGATCTGGAAATCATGGAGGTCAACAAGAACAAGCGAAAGCTGGGTGGATTTCACAGTTTTGTCTTCAAATTTCGTTCGTTTTAGCGTGTTTTTGATCAATTGAACCTCTTAAGATACTGTGGTATCAAAGTAAACGGAAGTAAAGAGCAACCAATTCGATTTTTGCTAGTACAGTTGATCAGTGTATGGCTCATTCGCTACAATCACTGTATAAAGCTTGTAAAAGTGACTTTCTTTGTACCCTAAATATACTAAGAATGGTATATTTAAACTTACAAAATGTGGACTTTCTCCTGATAGGTTTCTGTATTCTACGCAGTGTAACACGGATTATTGTTAAAACGTATAATTGCAGTCGTAACAGGAACATGTATCTTCGGTGATGCAGCAACGTTTATAAATAAAGATTGCAGAGTTTTATTTGGAGATATTTTCATTGTGCCTTTCTTGGGTTCTGCCTTAGGATATTTGGTAGCAATGTGCAGCCTGAGGTGGGGAAATTTGGTTGCATTTGACTGGAATGATTTGCCCGTGGGCAGGGAATTTGACGGCAAATTTTTGAAAAATGTCAAATCCCCACCCCATGCCCCCCCCCCCCCTCCCCGCCGGCTTTACATTGATAGGTGCATAATACGGAAGTTTCTGTGGAAAACATTGGCATGAAACCTGATTGTGATTCTGTCAGAAGGTTATTATAGGTTAGGTACTCATACAATTGTTTGAATACAACTCTCTCAACCAGTTTACTAACAACAGGTAAAACTGAGATTGGTCGGTAATTACTAGGGTCAACTTTGGCACCCTCTTTGAAAACTGGGGAAACTCTGGCATGCTTCCATTCGTCTGGAACAATTTCAGAATTGAAAGACTGATTATGAAAGTCAGAGAAGAGGTAACTATTGGAGCTGCCTCTTTTAAGAGGCCTACAGATATGTTGTCAAGCCCACTAGCTTTGTTTAAAGGAAGATTGTTGATGAATTTAAAGGGGCTGTGTCACGGCAGTCCAGTTTATTTTGTTTAATTTTGCCAATTACTCGCCTTTGATTGCTATGGAACTTAAAGTAGGCGAGGAAATTACATGTAAATGACAAACTCAGGGACCCGAGACAAACAAATATGTCTCCTGAGCATTATTATTGAAGTTGCAAGCAGCAGGGATCAACTTTGAAAAACTGTTAGGCTAATTTCAATCCGTTTCAATCTTTTTCAGTTTTGCCCATCCATGACATCTGTTGTTTCTGTTATGTTATTTTAACCTTCCTTTAAAGTTTTAAGCGGTTATTTTTATGTTTCTATTAACTTAACGGGCATTTTGTAATTTCTTAATTTGGCTGAATTTCGTGACACAGCTCCTTTAAAAATTTCAGCACAAGCAGCTGGTTTGAGAAAAGTGGGTTTAATATAATCCGTGCACCTTATGGGTGTGTCTGGAATCTCAGCGGCCAAAGTTGGTCCAATTTCAGAGAAATGTTTGTTTAAAATCCTACTGATACCCCTAAGAGATTTATAGGTATGACTATGTAACTCTGGTTTTTAATTTCGTTTATTGCTGTGGATTTAGATTCATTCCCTAGCATAGCGTATATTCCTTTCTAGATGTTTTTGATATTTCCAGAGTTATCCCTAAAATAATTACTTTAGTAACGCTGTTTTTGCTTCCTTGATAGTATGATTAACTTTGTTTTTTCGCTGTTTGCATCTAGTCCAGTCAGTATCACTTTGAGATCTTGAAGCCACTTTTTCAAGCCTGTCCCGTTCAAACATATTGTGTTTCAGTTCGGGTGTAATCCACGGGACAGAATTTCCCCTTACTCTCTTTTTCTTTAGAGGAGCATGACTGTCAGCAATGTATTCAAAAATTTGTTTCCATATACCCCATGCCTTGCTTGGGTCACTTTCAGCTGCAATAAGGTACCATGGTGCCATTGCAAGGTCATTTCTAAAGCTTAGTGGATCGAATTTTTCGAAACATCTACTTGTTTTAATCTTTGGAGTAGATTTAAGTACGCTGATTTTTCTAATTGCATACACGAGACAATGATCACTTATCCAAAGGTCAGAAACCCAACTATGGGAAAGTCTTTGAGGATCATTTGTTAGAAACAACTCAATTGTGCTACGTGTGTCTTAAGTTATGCGTGTAGGCTGTCTTATCAGTTGACTATATTGATAAATATTGCCTATGTCCAGGAGCTTCTGGGTTTTGTGGTCAAGTGGCGAGGCACCTACATCACAGTTTACGTCTCCAGTGATACTAACCTCCAGCCCATAGCCCTCCAGTTCTTTCAAAGTGGATTCGAATTTTGGGATAAATTCTATTGCAGACCCAGGGGGGCCTATTCCACGTTCCTACAATGAAGGGCCTTAACTTAAATTTAGATACTTGAATAAAGAGAAATTCAAGATCATCCTCTTGATGTGGGAGACATTTGTAGTTAATTGTGTTTCTGAAATGAAGAGCAACACCTCCACCTGATCTACTTCTATTCTTCCTCTCAATGGTATGTTGATTTCACCATTTGAGGTGTAATCAAGGCGAGATTCATTTATAGATAAGATGTCAAAAAAATTAGTAGACATATAGGCTATAAGTTGGTCGATATGTTTTTATAGACTAGCTATATTTAGGGTAGCTATCTTAAATCCCCTGGTACTTGGGATACGAAAACTAGGTTGGTTATTGATCCGGTTTTGAGAACAAGGCTCATTATCAGTAGAGATGGTGGCATCGTCGATATTTATTTGGGTTATTGGATGACCTGCGCAGCGTGGTTGTAGCCTTTAACCCAGTTTGCAAGAGATCAGTTAAAACAACCGTCTAAACTATGGTAAACTGCATTTGGCGTGGACTCATCGAATTTGAGGCGAGGAATGTGTTTTGGAGCGGGGAGATATTTTTTTCAAAAGAAGAAGAAGATTTCCGAAAGTCAATGTCGCCAAACTTGGCCCAATCGGGTTTTGCAAAATAGGAGATGAAGCTAAAATAGTTTCGTTTGGGGAAAGGGCGGCGAGTCCAACATTTTCCAGAAAGACAATTCGGACATGCTTAAATCCTTCACAGATAGATTCAAAAATGCTCTTGGCCCAAAAGCCGAAGATATCATTGCAGAGGACAATAAATCGACCAGAGAAGAAAGACAACGCTTAAGAGAGACGGAAAAAACAACTACGAGAGAAGGGAAGAATTTCCACCGATCGCCAACGAGCCAATGACGAGGTGCAAAAGCTGAGAAACAAAATCGAACAAACCCAAGCCAAGATTGATGCTTTTGATGAAGAACATGAAAGTGAAAGTGAACTGCAAAGACTGAAACTTTTCAAAAATCTGCAATACTATTTTGAACAGGTTAAAAAAGAGCTTTATGAAATACTAAAGCAACAACAACAGAAAGGGAAATCACAAAAAGAAGTCGATAAGCTGGGAGAAAGCATTGCTTCCAAGGAAAAGGAAAGAAACACACTTGAAGAAAGGCCGGGAAGGGAATACTCTGTCGGAATCGCACGCTCGTTGTGTTGAACAGAATTAAAGAAACCGTATGCTACACTTCAACACAATAATCGTAACAAAGCTCGCAATGAAAGCGGAAGTGTCTTTTCCAGTGATTGCTAGAATACAAAACTTACCTTTAAGCATTTTCACCGCTACATTTAATCTGAAGGGCATATTGGGCATTCCGACCACCTCTGCCTTCATAACTCTGCCAAAAGCGCCCTCTCCAAGAACTTCCTGCAGGCGGATAAGCTCTCTGTCGATCTCCCATTTTTCGTCCAGTGGCATGTCCTCTTCGGACACCTGAGTGAGGTTAGAAGCAAGTCTAGAGCGCAGACTTGGCTGCCGCGTCAGTGGAGCAGTTGATTCGCAAGACGATAGGGAGCCACCAACGGACGGGTCATGAGCCCTGTATTCCACAGTGATTTCATTTGGCGTGGGACTGTTAACAAGACCGTGGTTACCTTCTCTGGCTAATTTCATCTTCCGCTGGTAAAGATAAACGCCAATTCCAAAAAGCACTATAAAAAAGACACTCGCCAACACTGCAATAAGAATTGGTGATTCGACAGACGGGCGAGGAGTTCCATTTGTAACTTGCGAAAAGGTCGCATTTGTTTCGGGTGGTGACGCAGTTGTTTCTGAAATCAAATACATGCTTATCAGCAGAGAACATGGGCTATAGCGCGTCAAAATTTAAATTCAATTTAAATAATTGATTATCCTCTACCTTTATGGAGTTTTCCAGCGATAATGAAACAAATACAAAACAAAGTTAAGAATCCCAGTCGGGTAGAGGGCGAACCGTAGTTAGTTACTTTACAAAGGTACAGGGTTACAAGGTTACTTTACAGTATAAATTGGGGCCATGCAGTGGCTGGTATTTAAGTTTGTTCTGTTAGCCACGCCTTGCTTAAGTTTCCCTTTAAATTAGAGGACGCCAAAAGAAGCTAGGCTTGCACACCCAGTTCAGCCTAAGTAGCTGCTTTCTGTTAGTTTTGTCAGGCGATTGCTGCAGATTTTGCCTCTAAATCGCGATGTTTTCCATCTAAAATATATACATGTAATAGTTTTATGTCGATTTATGTGTCCATGCAAGCGCAAAGTAGATCTATTTTGGACTCTGAGGCCTTGTTCCGTAGCTGTGACCTAGTGTTTTATTAAGTTCTGGCCTCAAACCTCCTCTGCGTTTTCACTAGTTCGTATAATTGTCCAAGCTCAATCTTAGGAGTACGGTATATTATACTTTCATTCTAGTGCAAGTGTTTCTTTATTCACGTTATTTGGGAGAGGAGTTTATGAGACATATTAAGCCACTAGTTAGTGATGTTTCTAAGTAAGTACCGCACCCACAAGTGACCGCGAGTTTGACGCGGCGCCCAATCCAACTTGTAGGAGAACAGCTAGTGATTTGTAGGATATCCACGCCGGTTGGAGGTGCGAGCCCACTAAGCCGGCATAGGCATTTTCGGCATGGTCTTGACGTTCTCTCCGTATCTAGGTCACTTTTAGTCCAGGTGTATTTCATAGAGATATTTTATTTTATTCTGTATATTTTCCAGAATTTGCGTGTAATTGTTAGCGCCTAGCCTTATCTAAGTCACTTTCAGTCTATTGCAGTTCTGAGTTGTTTAGAGTCCTGGCGGGGGACGTAAGTTGCGCCTGGCCCGCCCCAGATTTCCTGTGCTTTTTTCCCTACGGGGTTTTTTGGGACAGGTTTTTTCTGGCCACGTGGCACACTTACATGTAGCTTTTATTTTTGTTTCATTTGCTGTAGTGTTTTATCTTTTGGGTATAATTAAAGTGGGTTATATGGCGTTGCACCCAGGCCATATCCAGCCTTGGATTTGAAAACGGGACTAACGAGAACAAATCAACGTAGCACTCAGGGCGGGACTTGAACCTCCGGATTATAAGTCCAGCGCACTTACAGCTCGGCCATGATAACTTCCCCAAGCAAAAAATCAATCACAGAATCAAAGTGTGTACATTGTGAGATACTAATTAGATGATGTAATTAGATTACCAGGTAACGATCAACATCAAATAAAGAATGGTTATAAATTCACTATCAATGACCGGTTGACATCAATTTCAACTTCGAAAAAATAGCTGATCATGATGGACCAGGCTATGCTGCTACTGATAGAATAACAGTTATCAATGGTGCACATAGGTCAATAACGCGGATGATGATTAAATCAGCGGGTAAAATTATTTATGATACTGATAACCTTCATAATGCAACATATGTGAAGAATTTGTTATGTAAATTGATTTTTTGTGTTAATTCAAAATTATATAACATATAATATATACAAGTCATGACTCAACTTTATAAAATCAGTCTCAAGCTATCGGAGAACCAAAAAAGGATCATAGTAGTGCTTATCAAATGAGGGAGAATTGTTCTAAGAGTCACGAAGGACTCTTTATCTGGAAATGATACGCTGTATGTTCCATCAAATGTTGTGAAAAGGTTGGAAAAGAACCGTGAATTGAAAAAAGGAATGGATATAAAACTAGCTAAAACCAATATTAGAAAACAAGTTGGAGGTAGTCTATTAACTGCAATTTTATCATTAGGTCGTGCATTTGCACCAACATTGGGCAAAACACTTGGATTGTCAGCATTGGTAGGTCTTGCTGGTGAAGGGGCCGGTCAATTGGTTAAAATGATCTCTGGTGGATAAATTGGTGTTCTTTTTATTCCAAACAACAAAATAAAGCAATTGATAGATAACAAACATTTGTACCCTTCCGTCCCTAAAACGAAAGAAAATTCAGCGCGCCTCCGAGTTCCTAGCAGTTAACTCCCTAGGGTTAATACCCAGCGTTTTAAAAGTAGTTTTTTAAACAGGCTATTTTTCAAGTATAGAGTAGCTATTTAATGTAATGTGGATCTTGAATGCTAAATTCAATGCTTTCACGTGGAAGTTGTAATTCTTTCTGCTATTTTTAATGGTTTTGGTTTTAGCATGTATTTGTGCTTAAAGAACAATAAAGACTTTATTTATTTATTTATCTCAAAAACAAAAAGAAATGCTGAGAGCATTACAATCGGGTGGAAAAGTAATTGTAAAACCAAGAAAAACAAAGTCAGCAGGCTTTAGGGGGCCATTACTCGCTAGTATTGGTGTTTCACTTACTATTGAGGCCATTAGAAAAAAATAGCGGGAAAGGTGCTCCAAGAGTAGGAATATCTGACCATTCAAGAACAAGAAGGTCATTACCATCAACTAGCAAAAAAGATGATGGTATTGTAAATCCATATGCACTTATTCCTCCACCTTTTATTGGAACATAGAAAAATCTAGTTCGTATAGGAGTAAAAAAAATTTCAGAAGAAAAAAGGAAAAGGGCTTCTATTAGGCAAAAGCAGCCCGTTCAATGGAATCCCATTACTAGGCGCAACATTGTTACACCAAACGTTTTATAAAAACAAGCTTTAAAGCAATCCTGATCGATTTAATAAAATGGTGTAAATATTTAAGAATACCAATAAAACATGTATTATCAAGAGATGAAAAAGTCCATATAATCATAAACAAACATTAATCATATACAATTTAGAGCCTTCATATATGTCTGGATTGATTTATTTGCTATGCCCCCTTTTCAAATCAAATTCAAAATTTAAATACCACTACTCTGGTTATTTTTGTTTGTTTGTTTGTTTTTTTTAATGAGATGAACAAAGGACATCATATTATGATTAAAAGTATTTGATATAAATGATGGCATTAAAATGAGGAATTCATAGGGAAGTATTTCAAAAATATATAATCATATACAATGGTTAAATCATATTGTGTAAAAGAAAGAAAATAAACTGAATGTGTCGAACCAAGGGACTATAAAAAAGCCAAAAATGGTCCATTAATGTTTTTCTGCACTTGTGCATCATGTGGTATTACAAAACCCAAATTCGTAAAAAGCCGGCGAAACCAGTTAGCCCGTGTTAAAGGGCGGGCGTAGCAGATAATATAGCAGTTAGTACATTGGATATGTTTGTTACTCATGGTGTTCCTGGGATGGGTAAGAAAGCAGTTGAGATGGGTCGTTATGGAGCCAGTGAGTTAATGAGAAATGAAAAATTTTGGAAAAAAGCAATTGATTATACTCTTGATAAATTAAACCCTACGATTCAAAATGTTGGTAGTCAAGCGTTAGATCAGTTACCAACAAAAATAAGACTAAATAAAAGATATAAAACAGATAGGAAGGATTTGGATTGCACAGGGTTTTCCCTTACGCGCAAATACGCGTCAGAGACGCGTTGTTTAGCCGAAAAAGAAAAAAAAGACGCAAACACCAAAGAGAACCGGTCCTCTAGGACGCACATGTTCTAGAGCGATAGTTCACTAAAAATTAGTTCAGAACTGCGTAGATCTGCAAAAAATCTTTTTTGAGAATGAAATATAAAGACTTTTTAATCTTTTTTTTCTGACTCTTTTTAAAACTAAAAAGAGCCATACTCACTTTGAATGGTTCTCAAGCTTACTTTTTTGATGTTCCGAGATCGGGGAACCACTTTTGACATTCCTTGCAGAGGTTTGGGAACTAATGTTTTATTGGGAGGCATTCTGCGACAGAAAGTGAGTTGGAAAAACATGGCGGATTCGGAATCACAGCCCAGTGAGCCCGCTAAGAAAAAGATGCGTTTTCTGCCTGCTTGGTTGAAAGAATTTACATGGTTGCGATGTCTGTAAGTCAACAGGTAATAGAAACCCTTTCACAACCGTAGGCTATAACAATCTTCAGAAGTTGGCCCTGGAAAGGAGCCAAAATTCTAAAGATCACATTTTGAGTATCAGTGACCTCAAGCTTAGAAAAGGCTTTCAAGCGACAGTTTCAAATGCAAAGACGAGCATCGACAATCAAACCCTGGAAATTACAAGGAGGCACATTGTTCAGCATAAAAAGTGTATCTTATGACTACGAACAACATGCTGCTGATAAATTCCAATAATGGAACGTTAGGCTGCGAACGGTTGTAGTGATGCTTCTGTTTTTTAGAAGAAACCCGAAAATGGTTCAAAGATTTCCTGGAATTTGAAACAATGCTAACCTTAGGACTCCTACTGTTCCCTCTGGGACCCTCAACCTTTGGTTAAAGGAGTCTTAGGGACTCCGAAAGGAAAATATTGAGGTAAAACCCTGATTGCAAAGGCATAATGGAAGGATTGTTGTAATAGGGTATATTTGGCTCGCCTTGGATAGTTGATTACAAAAAAGGTTACAAATTATAAACTGATCCTGAGTTATTTGCACCTGTAAATGAAATGCCTGTAAAAGATGCTAAATTATTTCAATATATACAAAGATCAATATTATAAAGCAAAGCAAAAGAAATGGGTTGAGGTGCTGGAATTGATATTCATTAAATGACTGGGAAACTACCTGGGCATCACCATTCTGGCCCATATAATGACGTAAATTCCCAACTGAACTATGATCAAAAAACAGGAGAAATATTATAAATCTATGACCAACCAACAGCTGAAACAGATCTAATAGCTATGCAACATGATATAGATAATTCTATTAGCAAAGATGATAGAAAATGTAAAAATAAAGCAGATAGGAAAATGGTTAAAGCCTTGGATAATGTACCTTACAACGTTTTATTATCTGTGACCTAACAGCAAATGATGTTAATATGACCTTGGCCAATGTATACGCGCCAAACAAAGACAATCCAGCTTTTTTCGAAGATCTTTTTAATCACCTTTCTGACTTTAGCTGTCATGATATAGTTATAGTGGGAGATTTTAATCTTGCACTCGATTTAGAGAAGGACACGAGAGGCGGCCTTAGCAAAACTATCAAAATAGCGTAAACAGTTTATAGGAATCGTCTGAGAATCTAAATTTAGTAGTCCTATGAAAGGTTTTTCATCCTAGAGCAGCCGGTTTACATGGAGGCGGAGACGTCCAAACGTACAATGTTGACTAGATTTTTTCTTAGTAAATCAAAGCGTAACAAACAAAACAAAAGTGACAGAAATAAGTCCAGGATAAAAAAACTGACCACTCTTGGGTGACATTTCTCCTTTTTACACTCAAATCCACGAGGTCCAGGGTTTTGAAAACTCAACACGTCTATATTATCGAAAACAAATAACGTAAAACAAATAAAAAAGACTATCAAAGAAACGTTAGACGAATACAGTGAGGATGAAACTGTTAACCTATCACTGCTTTCCAATTGGTAAGTGATAAAATTAAAAGTCCGCGAGAAATCTTGAGTACTCTGTCATCAAAAATAAACAAAAAATGCACATGCAATCAAAACTTCAACATGAGATTGCGATACTAGAGGCCCTGCCAGGGGGGGCTCCCATGTCGTTCGTCTGAATTTTAAAACGTCTCGTGTCGGTGTTTATTAATGCTTCACGTCGCTGTCGGAAATGGAACGAAAATTTTTTGTCTTTGTCGGAATTTTAGCAATTAAAAGGGGGATAGCGATGCGTTGTAAAGAAACCATTACAGTTGTGCAATTTCTCAGTTAACCTTTCGCGTATAGAACACCTATACATCACCATTCACAATTAAGGGTGTGTTCCTTTCGGTGAATCCAAAAACGGATTTTCGATCTTAAAATGGATTTCGCGTTCCTTTCGGCAAATCTAAATTTGGATTTTTGAACTGGGGAATCTTTTTTGAAAAAGGATTCACATTGGATTTGAAATCCGAAGAATCCGAATCCAGATTAACGGATTAGGGATCTACGCTGTTCCATTCACAGTGAATTCGAAATTAGTCAGGTGACCCAGCTGTATTCCCAGTTGAAGTATTCCCGTAGAGTTTCCTAACTACTGACATTTGCCGTAAAACATCTGAAAACACTAGAAGATTGTTCATAGTGGTACAGTAAAATATCCATGTGCTGACCATTTGTCGCTAAAGACTGCTTAAAAACACAAATAAGTAAAGGGACAAATAACTGCTATCTTTCTACAAACTCACTTGTGGACGCGATAGGCACTCGATCGTGTTACATAAAAAACCGAGCTACGAAACTGGATCAAACTGAGCCGACAACCTTAAGTAAATTTTCAACTTTAACGCTCTCCTTTCTTGATCTGTTTATGCCCCCATCGTCGTTATTCGAACTGCCGACCACAAAATTCTGCACGGTATAATCGCATAATTAATTGAGAGGCTCAGGCTGTCATACATACTGCACGCGTTTGCGAAAGGTTACCAAGATCACGAATCAAATTTCGTTCCTTTCGACCGCGAAATCCGGCAAATCTCGGATCAGAAATCTGTTTTTGAATTCGCTTAAAGGAACACTGTCAACACACCCTAAGTGATCCACGTTCAACATTTTTTAAAATGTTGAACGTGATAAATCGTATGTGAAGGCCGGTTAACGGTGGTCTACTCTGTGAGAGCGGTTGGAAGGTCGGTGGTTAGGTTGCCTGGTCCCTGGTCTCTCCACCGTCGTCACCGTCCGACAGAGGTCGACAGGGATGTGAGAAGTTCAGGAAAAAGCAAAGTATTCACCATTTTCACACAGACCATAAAGCACCTTGTTTACCCCCCAAAACTTGGCATCACCATTGTTTTTTATTTCTCTTGGAACGACTGTATTAAAAATACCCTGGAGAATTTGGAAACAATGGTTATGTAAAATTCTGAGGGGGGAAAACAAAGTGCATTATGGTCTGTATGAAAGTAGTGATTACAAGAGATGTCAAGTGTGCGTAAAATTAAGCTATTTGACGGACAACCTAGTTCCAAGGTCTCCCTGGAGTTGTGCGGGGTTACGTAAATGAAGACTACGCGACGGGCCAACGCGACGCGCTCAGGAGAGTCCACTGAGACTCTCTGACGAGAGAATCTCTGAAGCGCAAGGAAAATTGACGAACATTACTTCTTTTTGGCATGCAGACTGGTGATAAATTAGCCAAACCACCGTTCTTTGTCGCATATTCTCGGCTTTGCCGTCACCGTCGCAATTTGGTCGAAGGAGGTTGTCGCTTGTCGCGATTTCATTTTAGGCTCTGTCGCTACTTTTTGGGTCATGTCGCTTGTCGGAATTTACCCTGGCAGGGCCTCATACTAGAAGAAGATAAAGATAAAGATAAAGATAAAGCCGAAACACCCGAAGACCTTTTGGCTCCACATCTCGACCATCCTTGTTAATGCATTGAACTTCGCGCATGAAACAGGCCAACTTTTAATAACTCAGAGAGGAGGTATCTACTTTATCAAGAATTGGAGGCCTTTGACCCTGCTTAATTGCGACTATAAAATAGCAGCCAAGACTATTGCAAACCGTATAAATCGTGTCCTACCTGCTCTTATTAGCAACGACCAGACACGTTTTTTGAAAGGAAGATTCGTTGGGGAAAAAATTCGTCTTATTGACAGTTTAATTTGCAATGCTAAGGAGCAGAATATCCTAGGCCTTCTTCTCTTTCTAGATTTTGAAAAAGCATTCGACACGATAGAATGGTATTTCTTTCAAAATACTCTCTCTTTTTTCTGTTTCGGTGCTAGTGTCATAAGTTGGGTAAACCTCTTTCATAGTGGCCCGGAAAGTTGTGCGTCAAATAATGGATGGGCTAGCGATTTTTTTAGCATCCAAAGAGGGGCAAGACAAGGTTCCCCTCTCTAGCCCTATCTCTTTATCCTTACAGCAGAAGTATTAGCAAAGGCTGGACGCAAAAATGAGAATATAACGGGGAATTAATGCAAATGATAAAGAGATCAAGATAAGTCAGTACGCAGACGACACGACTATTCTAGATGGATCGAACAGCTTCCTGCTATCTCCTTCAAGTCGCCTGGGTCGTTTTTATAAAGTTTCAGGTCTTAGACTCAATAATAATAAAACAGAGGCTTTTTGTATTGGTGCAAACTGTCTTAAAGAAGAAATTCGTCTCACTGGAAGAGATTTTAAATGGCCCAAGTGTAAAGTAAAACCTCTAGGTGTTTGGTTCTCCCTCCACCCAAAAGAAAGTCCAAAATATCTTAAGAGAGTGTCTCTGTAAGAACGGTCCGGTCGATTTTGCTTGAGACACAGATTTAGCTCATTTCATGTGTGTTGTAAGACATTCATGTACCTATACTAAAACCACAATCCGTTTGATGGTGATATTTACAACGAGTGTAACTATGCTCGGCCGCGATCAGCTCTGTACGAGTTATGACGCTCAACAATCGTAGGACGTGGCCATAAAAATAAAAAATCCTCCTGGTATAAGCAAAGTAACATCTACTAAATATTTCATGGAAAGTACATGGTATTTAACCATTAGCAGATGATGCAGAAATCGTACGAACGAGTAAGATTTCCGATACAAAAGCAGTGAGTGTGCAAATAAATACCAAGTTGATGTGCGAAATTCAGAGATTCTATATCTTCCCTCAAAATGATCAGAAAAGGCATTAGAACTCATTGGTGCTCTGGATCATGACGAAACATTTCGCTTGCATTTTTTTGGCTAGAAGGAATCAATATATTAATGTGGGGAAGATGTTTTGCTTTTAAAGTTAATACATATCAAATTCGACAATACATAAGCTTACCTTCGATCGTTGTCACAAACTGGCTCAGCGTTGTGTCTCGCCGCCGAGCCGAACGTAATTACACTCGTTGTAAATATCAGCACATGTACTTACAACTGGAAAGGCTTAATAAATGAGTCCACAATCCCCGCTCATTTATACCTGGTAAGTTAGTACTATATATTTCGAGACCATTCAGTAAATTTCACAAGCGACCTTTCGCGAGAAGGAGTGTTTATCGATAGATTTCATCACATTGATCCCACAAAAACTTACAATCAACGCACCAACATTAGTCACCTCCGCTTCTCATAAAATCACGGCAAAATGCGGCATTCTCTGTCCAAAGACACTGGTTTTAAACGGAGAAACAGCTCTACGCCATACATTTCTTTGTAGCGACTTGCAATGTTTGCCCCCTGGCGATCCCATAGTCCTGTGCGCATAACTAAGTCTCCGATTACTGGAAAATCATTCATTTCCCTCGTCGATTCCACCGTAAGAAATAACCTGTGCCACCCCAAGCTTCCACTCGAATTTGAGATACGAATCAAACAACATAACTGCGTCACCTTCGAGGCCATATCACACTGGTATTTTGATTTTCTGATCGACAAGAACGGTGATCAGGAAGTGATCGCCATATTTACCTCATAAACGTGACCGCTGACCAGCCGCTGAGTAAAAACAAGAGTACGGTGCGGGGTGGTGTGGGTGGCGGACTTATCGTCATAAGATATTCGAATACATGCTAAAAAAGCTTTTCGTGGTACAGACAACTTTTATTTTATTCTCATAACTTTTTCCTTTAAATTAGAACTGGTATTAATTAATAGAGTTATTTAAATATCTTTAACCAAGGTACCCATATGACCTTTTTGCTTGTCCTCAGTAGTATAAAATAAGGTGTCTTTTCTTCCAGAACCTTTTATTTATGCGTTATTGCACGGAATGAACACTATACTTGGAGGTTTGTTCTAAATCATTTTTGCTGTTCCCAAGAATGTATGCAAAATCATTGCTTTATACAAAGCTGACTCTAAAATATGATTTTCCGTAACAGTAACCAATGTCATTTACGTAAGGTGTGAATAAAACTAGCAATGTACAATTTTTAGCGTTTTCCACTTATACGCCTGACATATAATTGTCAAGTGAACTATGTTAGTTTCCGCTCACTCCTTGTTTCGATGTGACCTTTTATCACTAAATCCTATTCTTTTCATTTGCAATTTTCCTGTACGTTGTTTTTTTTCATACGACAACGACAAAGAGTTTTATACACTGGATGAAAAAACAGATTTGAAATGAGATAAATGTGGGACAAATGTGGTCTAAATATAAAATTTGTCATATTTGTTCACATTTGTGCAAAGCACAAATTAGACATTTGTGTTTAAGACAAATAGGATAATGATGCATTTGCTATCTAAGACAAATGTGAACAAATGCTGTGTAAATGTAGGACAAATTTAACATTTGCTTTGTGACAAATACAGATAAATGAGCCAAATTGCAAACAAATGTGTTCAAATGTGTTCAAACTTTGTCAAATAACATATTTGTATGGACAAATATAGAGCAAATTTTATATTGTAAAGTGAGCGTGCCAGGCCAGTACATACGTACTACCCTTCTCTCTTTTCTTCCCTGGCATCTACCCCTTTATTGCTTCTTGCAATTTGCACTTAACACTAGCTTTCAACCTTTCTTTAAAGTGGACTAATGCTGCAGAAGTTCATTCAACTCAACTAGGACTGGTTGAAAGACCATCAGTTCGATCCCTTTCCCCCTCATTTATCACAACCCTTGCCTGAAACCCTGATATAACGAAGACACTGCTAAAACAGTAACAATCTTCGTTGCACTTCGTTCCTTGAAACTTTTTAAATATCAGAGTTCCACTGTAAAGGGTGCAAGGTGATTACAATTTTTAAAGAAAACTGACTCAAGAATTTTAACTGACAATTCTCATTTATTTCACAAAGCTTCTCCTGATCTTACAATTAACTGTAAAACAAAACTAAAACATTAAGTTTAACAAGTGTCAGTTCATTTCAGGATGACCAAGTCAAAAGACTTTATTAGGTAGATAAATAAACAGAAAGTGACCAAGTTGGGATTGCAAAAATCACCTTTTTTCCAAAGTGACCGAAATGGGGTCTATAATATGGCCGCAGAGTAGACTATCGGTATACAGTAATGGGATAGGGATACTGAGAGGCCAGCAGCACATACCCAGTAAAAATTAACCATTAAATAAAACTTTCCCTTCAGGTACCATTGGTACAACATCCAACAAAGAGTATCTTTAGTTAATTACCACAGGAAAGATAACAATCTTCATTGCACTTAGTTCCACTGTTATTAGAGTATGTAATTTTTGTTTGGTGGGCCATTGATACTTGCCAAAGGTAACAAAACTAATGAAATAGCTGACTTCTGGAGTGACTGCTAGAGGGTTTAATGTACATTTGTCATTAATCAATAATGCTACAAAGACTTGACTAAAATTTGGTAAACAGCAAAAATTTCACATATCATAATATATTTTTGTACACGCATCTTATTCATAGCTTGAGAATTTGCAAAGTAATCAAAGACTATACCATTTGCACTCTTCAATGTTTGCCACAGTTAACCAAATAATCCAAGTTACATTTATATAAGCTCTTAGAAAATCCATAACATGTACTGTTATTAAAACCTATAAACAAATAATGGACTTTGGACATTTAAGCCAACAGTTAAATCTTGATTATCTGGACCTCAATTAACCAACTTTTGGATTATCACAACTTTTCCTCTGGTCAAAGATTTCTTAAATGAATATTGCAAATAAACGAGAAGGTAAACCTAAGCCTGATTTTCTTTTGGCTTCACATCTTCGAAAGAGTCATTGAAAAGTTTTCTTTTGTCTTTGAAAAGCAAAGTTGGTACTTTTATGTGATGTCAGCCTGCAAGGAAAGTCGTGTCCGATAGCCCGGGGCTAGTGGATTTTGCTATCGGGCTAGTGATTTTTGTTCTTAACTTGCCTGATGGGCAAGTGCTGTTTTTTGGAGAAATTCAAATTACCGAAGGATTGTAATCAATCCTGCTTATCAAAAAGGGTTTGGGGGCTAGTTGAAATGACTTGTGGGCTAGTACGGGGTAGCTACAGCTTGCGAGAATGTCAGGCTGTAAAACTGATTTTCTTTGCACCCTGGATGTATATGATAAATTAAGCTACCCTATCAAGACAAAAAAATGCCACAGTTGATTATCTTCTGTGGAAGGTAGCCTCATACTACTAATAACATATACTTTTCTATTATCTCCACTCCCGTTCTCATTAAATTCATATGAATTCATATAAACAAGGTCAGGCCAGGTTGTGTAATGCTGGTTTATGCAAACTTTGAGTTGAGATAGGAAAGCTTATAAACAAATTCACTTTAAAAGTTCTTTTAGTCTGCAATTTGATGATTGGATGCTCTAAAAAAGAAGAGCACATTAAGTGTGAAAATGTTTTTGAACGAATGAAAAAGGAAACCAAATTATTTAAAAATTTATCCCCGTGTGGGTTCTAATAAGCCTTAGAACAACTGGGCCTAGGCCTTGACTGAGAAGTGGCCTGAATGTGGCTCATGATGGACCGTCAGGTGCTGGCCTCTCGGATATCCCACCCTCAAACCTGGGCTTTGCCATAGCTCTGGCATGAGGGATAAGATTCTTAAGGTAAACAACACCTGAGGCTGTGCTCTCCAGGTCACCCGTGGCAACTGACTTTTCATCCTGAGTGTCTAAGGCCCAGTTCAAATTCACATGCGCAGAACTTTATTCCTAATTTAGTCTACTTAAATAGTTAAATGCGGCATTTGATTTAAATGTCAAATTTAACTCCCTAAACTCTGTTGAATTTAACTCTGTTAAAAGTCAATATTCCCAGTAATATAATAATAATTTACCAAAATTCATGCATTAAGTTGGCACATGTGAAATGCGACGTTTGAATCAAAAGTTGAACCTTAGTCAAATCTTCAACTGTTTCAGTCGCAGATACGGCAAACATCGCATTTAATTTAAACAGTCTTATTTAATTGATTCAAACGTTGCACTTCACATGCATTTAACTCTTGCGTTAAGTTTGGCTCAAGTGAAATTCGACATTTGAACCCAGCCTAAAAGAACGTTTTTCATAGGAACCATATCTTGAGCAGTGTGGATTTCACAGTTTCATAGCAATGGACTCAGTCCCTTCAAATTTTCTTTGAGCACAGCCATTTGGCTAGAAAAACATTTTTACACTCATGAGGTAAAAAAAATAAAACATAAATTTGTGAACATACTCCTCTTCCACTTTAGAGCCACTTGTCATGTTTTTTGTCAACCATCTTTCTGCATGTTGGAAACAAAACAAAAATTATAGTTGTCAATTTACCAAATAAAGTGCTATGTTAGATAAGCTTAAACTTAAGCTTTGAGACAGAAGCATATAACCCTGATAATGATTCTGCTTTGAGATAACCATAATCATCCATAATATACATGTATTTGGTTGCTTCCAACAGCAACTTTCTCCAGGCCATCGATCTCGTTTTGTTTAAAAAAGAAATAAATATGCCCCACTTCAAAGACTAACATTGTCCCTCAAAAATTGGGCGCTTTAAGCTAAGTTGTAGGTTCCTGTGATGTTTGATACAACGCAGGCAAGTCGGCGCCTCTGAAGACACGCTATCAGTTCAGCTTCAAAGAATAAGCACAAACTCTCACGATCAAAAGCATTTCGTATATCATCAAAGCAACAAGAAAGTAAACCTACCCTTAAATCCATTGGAACTTCTCCTTTAGATTCTGTGCGTGACAGTTTTGAGCCGCGTTTGCTGTTATTTAGTCGCTCCTGTTTTGCTAGTTACGTTATCTTGCTGAACTGCTGCGTTTGCTTCTTTCAGTTTCTTCTGGCTCTCTAAAATAGGATCTAGTCTCCTGTTCATGTTTTCCATCAGAAAAAGTTGTCTTTCTTCAGCAGGACTGCTTGTAGCCATGATTGAACCATAAAATACGAGTCTAAAGACAACGAAAACTAAGGGCCAAGCTGACAAAGAACTTTTCGAAATGAACTGAAGACGCTGTCAAAATGGTGATCAAACATACCCCGCGTGTAGCTGTGGACATTTGATTGGCGTTCTATCGCTGACGTAACTTTAACGTCACAATATCCGAACGCGAGTACTTTTCGCGCATTCGCGCGCGCGTTCATTCAAAAAGACGATCAAGATGAAGGGATTGGAGAATAGGGTGTACTTATCAGCAGCACTTATCTGGACTTAAGCATAAATTCTGGAATGGATTTCACGTAATACTGATATTTACTATTATAGTGAAACCTCTATTAAACGAACCCTCAATTAAGCGGACACCCTCTATTCAGTGGACACTAAACCGGGTCCCGAAATTTTAATTACGTCTTAAATTTCCCTTTATAACGAACCCCTATTCAGCGGACACTTCTATTAAGCGGACGCGGACACTGAAATAAATTGTATTTGGCTAATTTTTATTGTTAATAACCTCTATTAAGCCTTTCATTATGTCTAGCGGTATATATGGTGATGTGGTTTAGACCCTATAGTGTAGGGTGGTAGTGCAAATAAGACTCTGCCATATGGCTGAATAATTTTGGTCTTTTGACTAGAGTTGAACTTTCATATTTTCAGTGGCACAGCATAATGATCAAAACACTGACAACTCATCAGTTTTAAGGAGTCAAAGGGAGGAGGAATTCTTTCCTTTAACATCTAATCCAACTTTTCAATCTTGGTAATAAAAAACGGCTAGTGAGCCTCACACTTGCAACGCAAGGTAACTTTCTAGCATACGCTAAAACTTCAAAAGACTTCTTTTTAATACGTGGATATAAACAAATTGTCTTTTTTATGAAGAGACGGTAATTTCCCTTTTATTCACTTCACTTAAAGTAATTTTTAATTTCCGTTTTATTCACTTCACTTAAAGAATTTTTAATTTTAAATTTTTATCGTGTAGTCGTAATTTACGCAGGGCCCCTATTGATACCAGCCAATGGCTGATAGGGCCACTCTGCCTAAATAAAGTTGACTCTGACTTGACTTGACTTGAATACAGTGGAACCTCGATATAACGAGCCTCTGTAAACGTTTTAATCAGCGTATCAAGTACGGTAAGTTGATCGGAGCATTGATCCAGGGTGAGTAAGGCGCAATAATAGCTAGCCAGAAAATCCCTCATTGCAATTTCTACAGATCTACACCTACATGCATCTACGAGTACTTGACAAGGGTTACCCATTGCGTCAAAAACAACCAAATAAATAAATTAATTAATTAATGACACAAACAATAGCCTTGTTTCTAAACAATTCAGAAAATCATATAGCGATTTTACTGGAACGAGAAGTCAAAACGTTATTTTTCTCGTATTTGTCTTGTTTTAAGATATCTTTGTACCAGGGCAAATATAATGGCATATTTGAATCACATTTGTCTCACATTTCCTAAGACAAATGTGATAACAGATTTGTCTCACATTTGGGACATTTGATGGGTGGACAAATCTGACATCAGATTTGTCTTAGATTTGTCTTTAAGGCAAATATCATTAAATTCAATTTTTCGTCCAGTGATAAGTAAACCAACTTTTTGGTGTACGACACTTATTACATTGTATATACAAATACAAGCAAAAGGCCGGCTAAATAAGCTCCTCCCCCTGCTCCTAATTTTTTGGGTTGCCTTCGCCCCATGCCTCTGCACGACTCCCATTTAAGTGGGAGCTCGAAGAAAGTACAGATTTCCTTAAGCATGTAAGGAAACAGTAAAATTTTGGGATGTTGGGAGAACACGAGAAAAGCTTGTAAATAACGAGCCGAACCCAACATCCCGCGTGGGTTATCACGACGGTAAACCGATAGAAAGTGTGGTCTATTGCTTAATTATTCCAAAGAGGACAAGCAAAAAGGTCATATGGGTACCTCGGTTAAAAATATTTAAATAACTCTATTAATTAATACCAGTTCTAATTTAAAGGAAAACGTTATGAGAATAAAATAAAAGTTGTCTGTACCACGATGCCTTCAGTGTTTAGACTAAGAGTCCTAAAGCGTTTTTAGTATGTATTCGAATATCTTATGACGATAAGTCCGCCACTCACACCACCCGGCGCCGTACTGTTTTTACTCAGCGGCTGGTCAGCGGTCACGTTTATGAGGTAAATATGGCGATCACTTCCTGATCACCGTTCTTGTCGATCAGAAAATCAAAATACCAGTGTGATATGGCCTCGAAGATGACGCAGTTATGTTGTTTGATTCGTACCTGAAATTCGAGTGGAAGCTTGGGGTGGCACAGGTTATTTCTTACGGTGGAATCGACGAGGGAAATTCGAACACTAGTTGTAGTGTTTGAATTGTTGGAAGAAATGGTCGCATGGGGTGTAGGAATGGTAGGTTTAACGAACAATTTCAAATTTTGCCCCTTGAATTGAAAGTGAAGTTCATTTGAATGCTTTCGTATGTATTTCTGACGGTCTTAGATCTACCTGCTCGACTTATATCTGCTACGCTTCATGTTGACAAGTCCCTCAAAATGGAGGCAAAACTTGGAGATTGCCGAAAATTAGGTAAGTTCACAGAGTTATAAAGTTGTAGTAAAGATCGGGCCGCAAAGTTTTTTTCTGTAGTTACCTTTTCTATGGCACCTACTTCCTAGCTATATTAGTTGGATCAGTTAAGAACGCCTCACTTTTTCAAAAATGTACCTTGAATTTGATCGGTTTTCGCGTGTGTGACTTAAGCGAACCGATAAGGTGTCGTTCAAGTCTTCCTGTTTGCTTGATTGAAACGTGATGTTCACGAAAGTCGCCTCGATGGATAAGATAGAGTTAATATACATGGCTGTGGTATTTGCTTTTTGCTGAGTTTCGTAGTTTGTTGTAAATTGTCCGCCAAAGTTGCCTCAAATTAACGTCTTGAAAAGTGTCACGACAGGCCCTCGCTCGAGTGAAATTTAATTTCCGTAAAACTCTGAAAAATAAAGAGATCCGATCAAACGGATTGTGGTTTTAGTATAGGTACATGAATGTCTTACAACACACAAGAAATGAGCTAAATCTGTGTCTTAAGCAAAATCGACCGGACCGTTCTTACAGAGACACTCTATTAAGTTCTTGGAGCTTTCGCAGACTTTCTCTTATCGGAAAAAATAAAAGTTTTGAAAAGCCCGGCGGCTTGCCAATTAATCTATGTGTTTTCATCTTTACGCACCAATGAAAAAGTCATTAACGAACTCAACAGTCCCTTCTTTTCTCTCATTGGGAATCAAAAGGGTGACAAAATCAAACTTGATACCATTATCAACGACTAGTCAAACGGCGGACTTAAAATGATAGACATCCAGGAACACTTGTCGAAACGGTGTTACAAAAAATGCTGTTCATGAAAGTTTCTTCTAAATTCAAAAATGGACTTCTCCTACCCGCAGTCAACATAAATGGATTATGGACCTAAACAACAATGAGACCGATCAACCTCTATGGTCTAAGGAATACACTCTAGCCTTCAAATACACCAAAAGTACCCGGGTGTTGGAGTTCCAGTTAAAATTTCTCAATAGAAGGATTGCCACTAATGACTTTCTGACGAAAATCGGACTAGAATATATCTCTAATTGCGATTTCTGAGGAGATGGAAAAAAAGGGCTTGCGCATCTTTTCTGGTTTTGCTTTAAGGTCTCATCTATTTGGAGTTCATTAATATCACGACGCGTTTCTTTTGAGGTTTTGCCTGCTCAGTATGAACTAAAAGCGTCAATAGCACTTGATCTTAGCCCTGACTCTTCAAAACGTCAGCGTCAAAGTAACTTCACTTGTCTTACTGAGCCAGATACTATAACTGGATCTGTTGAAAGAGGAAATCGGAACCAAATCTAGTGGGTTTTTTTAATTAACTAAAACTTTCTTATAACAAAGAACCCAAGGCTACCGTTGATCTACCAAAAAATACAGGAGATAGATGAAGACATCGCATTGGTTGAGCTCATGGAAAGCGTATGCCAAGATATAGAAAATAATAAATATAAAGAGGAAAATGACGTTTTCAAAAACCACAAATAAAGAAAGAAAACTTTTAAAAAATATAATATATAATAATTATAACAAAATAATGCATAATGGAGAATTTCAAACATCTTTAAAAAATAGTGAGAGAAATGATAGATAATAAAAATGCGTTGGATAATCTGTTCGAGGTAACATCAACCAATGTAAAGAAACTAAAATCATTGAAAAAAGATCACATGCCACAAGAGACCAAACAAAGTTCATAAAAAATACAAAAAGATATCGAGAAGCGTGAGATAATTTTAAATCATCTACATGTTGAGGAAGGAAAAATAAAATCATCTCTCTGAATAATGAACTTCTAAAACCATGAATATGGACAATATATGTTCTGACCATTTCAAGAAGTCATAAAAATATTTTAATAGAACATTATCTGACACATAGTATAGTATATAAAAAGATGGGTAAGAAGATCACAACAAAATAAAAAATAATATATATGTTTTTCAAATTTTTCAACAGTTTGAATATTAACATAATTGGGAAATTCAAATATAGAATCTTTTTTTCAAACTGGAGGAATTAAAGAAGGTGTGTAAATATATTTTAATAATATCTATAGTGTAGTATATGCCATTACAACTTCACGCCGATTTAAGTGTGTACCCCAAATTTTGGGGTTATCAAGTATTCATATATTCAGGCTATTGTTCTTGCCATTGTCGATTACCTTCCGAAGAATCCACGAGCGGAATTCCTTTGATTTAGGTGCGATATGTCTCCTTTGTTTCGAATTTTGTTGCTTGATTGACTTTTTAATCCCCATTGTTACCTGATGAGTATTAAATTTATCCATTAAAACACTCGGACTCTCCTGTTAAATTTGCTGCAGTCTGAGGGAACGCTTACAAGTCTTTTAAGCGTGGCAGACAACTCTGCTTGCATAACATATTTTCGGTCACGCACCGTATTACAAAGGAAACAAGCCTGATAAATTTGAAGTTGTTTAAAGCTTATAAATACCTGGTCTCCAATAGTATTTTTTTTTATTAAATACTCTCTTGCCTTGAAAATAATTTGGCGTTTAAAAAATTGCTGCGGAAGTTATTTATTAGAATGTTTCATTCATTCAGTAGCTCTGCAATCAAGAGCGAACAACTCTTTTCAAAATGTAAACAACGCAAGTGGTGAATGCATTTAACGGGATGACACAGTTTCATTAGAGTGTAATTTCACTTTTTTGGATGTTTTCGCTTGCCTTTCAGTTTTTTTTTTTGGTTGAACAAAACCTTGCGTTTCAGTTACGTGACTGCAGGGCCCGAAATAACGCGTATTGTCAGTTCACCGATTTGCATGACAACTTGATTCGCGGAGTAGTCGAGTGAGACGGGAAATATCTAAAATCAAAACAAGAGCTGTAATCGACAGATCAAAACTTGCGGAGTTCATAATTCCTCGAAATAATTTTGTAGAAACACTTGTATAATTTCATTGCTTTGGAGAAGTGAATAACTGTTATGATTGAATGAATGGATAACTCTCGGCCGGATTTTATTAAGCGATAGGCGAGAAAAAATGCTTCAGCGGCTTGCTTTGTACTTCGAAACCTCGCAAGAAAAAAAAATCCAATCTCGGTCCACAGTGGTCGAAATTTCTCGTTCAAGATCTCTTTTTAAAGCTCTCAAAATTCTACTTTTTGAAAAATACGTGTCCAAGTCGAAGAAGTTTTGCGAAAGACTTAAATCCATAAACTTCTACCGCAATATGTGCGATAATTCTCTGCAGTTTTATTGACACAGTAAGAACAAAAGGATACCATTAAGACTTCGCGGCCCTGGGCAGCTTAATTAAGCCATTGTTCAATTCCTTTGAATTCTGTTCCGAGTCTTGCGCCATAAAATCTCACCTTCTTTAAACCGAGTCAAAACGAGCACTCTCGAAGGGAAAGTCCGGAGGAATAAATTGAGCCTTCGGGGTACAAAATCCAGCGGTTATGCCCATTTCTGAAATGCACACTTAAATCGGCGTGAAGTTGTAATGGAAAATGATAATTGTTCATATCTAATCATGTAGATATGAACAAATCAGATCTTAAGAAACTTAAGAAATCGGATATAATCAGGCTGTTATTGAAACAGAATGCAAAAAATCTATGGAATTGAAATAGTGGATGATGAACCAGTTTCTACCCCACGGACTGTAAAACCAATCCCAAAACCAAGGAATATGAAGCCAATTCCTGAACCACGTGAGAGTGTTAAACAAATGGTTAAAAATTGTGAAGATAACATCATCCTTCCGCCCCCTGAGTTTAGGGAGTGGGTACAAACCAGTCCCAAAACCAAGGACTAAAAACCAATACTAAAACCAACACCAGCACCTAGAACTAAAAATTTAGTTGAAGAAAAACCAGTTCCAGCTCCTAGCATCAAATTCGACCAAACAAGTAAAGCTCTAAATGGATATACTCAATCATTTGAAATTAAAATTAAAAATAATTAAGACTCTTTAATACAATTACAAAATACAAGAAAAGGTATTGAGCAAAACTTCAAAACTCTTTTAACTGAAACAATTAAAAGGATTTAAATTTGTTGAATCATTGAAGGTTGAATTCTCAAAAGTATCCAATGATGAAACCGTATACAAAAAAGCTTATTTTGATAGTATCACTCAAACAATTGTTAATGAGAATGAATTAAATGAAGGGTTACAAACATCCAAATAAGATGTATTGAATAAAATTGCACAGTGGATATCAGAGGGTTCGGTTTGTACTATTAAATCAATTGATAACCATTACATAAATAGTGCCAAATATCAACCATTAAAAGGATGATTACATTGTCAACTGCCTAAAAAATTGAGAAATGCAGCTAAAGGATTGATTAATATTAAGAATGATGATAATGAATGTTTTAGATGGTGCCACACTAGCCATTTAAAGCCACAAGAAAAAACCCTCAGAGGATAAAAATACTAATAAACCACTTATTAGCCAATTTAATTACTCAAGTATTAGTTTTCCGGTAACCACTTAACAGTATAACAAGATTGAGAAACAATGTAATATCAATATAAACTTATTCGGTTATGAAGATGAACAACGATTTCCAATACACATTTCTAACGATAGGTTTGAGATTACATGGAACTATTATTGATAACGCAAGGTGAAAACAAACAGTATGTTCTCATAAAAGACTTATAAGTACAACCAAACAAAACATGAACATAGAAAACACGTTTGTACGTATTGTTTACAATGCTTCAGTAGTTGTGATAATATGTTAAAGAATCACCAAGAAAACTGTTTAGTTTATAATTGTCAGCAAGCCATAAAAATGCCTGAAAAAGGTGACAATATGTTGAAATTCAATAATGTCCAGAAACAGTTACCAGTACCATTCGTAATCTAAGCAGATTTTGAAGCTATTGCAGAAAAAAATACAAGGATGCCAACCAAAAAATGATGAATCATGTACTGAATCATATCAAAAACATAACATCTGTGCATATGGATATAAGGTTGTCTGTTGTAATGATGATGAATACAGTAAGCCAGTTCAGATATATAAAGGAGAAAATCATGTTTATAAGTTCATAAAGTTAAATGGTGTGAAAAAAACAATTTAAAAACATTTCAATTAACCAATGAGACTTACAGAAAAAGATAAAGAAGATATTACAGTCAGAGATTATTGTTATATCACAGGTAAATATAGAGGATCAGCTCACCAAGATTGTAAGATTAATTGATAAGATAACTTAAAAGGGGTTATGATAGCCATTTTATTATGCAAGTGATTGGTGACATTACAAAAAATTCATAAATACTTGGGTCATTCCACGGTAATGTGAAACTAGACATTGGTTTTTAAAAAGTATCAAATTTGTCTAAGATATAACTGAAAACTAAAAGCGAAATGTTTAAAGTTGACATTTTAAGCACTATCATACAATTTCCAGGTCATATTTTTTCACAAATAGTAATTTACTCTGCATGTGTTGCCAAAAGCCGTTGCGTAGAAGACAAATGTTTTTTTGACGTATTCGAAAAGCTGGTTATTTTGTTTGAAAAGCCGCTCTGGTCTACGATGGACGTACCTAGCTTGAGTAATTAAAAACGGGTGCGAAGAATTGGACTTTCCAAAGTTTTAGTGTCTTCTCCGCAACGATTTCACTACTAAGAGTTTTGATTGCAGTGAGGAAAACGGGCCAAAATATATAATTTTCCAAATGCTCGAATTAATAGTCAGTGTAACCTTTCTAGATTGAACGTTCATCAAAATACATAAAATTTCCACGAAAATTTAATGTTTCATATTTGTTGCGGAGAGAACATTTTCGTTCCGGAGAAGACGGCTACGAAAGCAAGACTTTTTTTTTGTTGTTTTGTTTCTAACCCTGTTAACTAGTAGCGAGAGGAGCAGGAAATACCGGGAGAGGTTGAAAAACGACGAGAAGAAGCTAGCACAGTACAGAAAGAAAGATAGAAAGAGGAAAGCGAGAGAGTACAAGAGACAGAAAGAGAGTTTGTCAGATGCAAAGAAGGCATGGTAGAGAGCAAAGAAAAGGAACTGGAAAAGATCAAACATGGCCAGGCAGAAGGAGCAGAAGGCGCAGATGAGTGAAGAACGGCAAAGAAACAGACACCGTGAAAAGTCAGTTCCTGACATCCCAAAGCCTAGGAAAGGCAGTCAGAAAGGTGCATAAGAGCCTTCCCAAAAACCCCGAAAAAGTTCCTGAACTGTCAGTAGGGAAACTGGTATATCAACTGTCACCTCAGAAGCGCAAGGCAGTAATTCAGCTTGTGACATCAATGCAAAGCGGCGCAAGGTCGAAGGGAACTAGTTAAGAGATCAGATTCTCTTTCAGAGGAGGACATAAGGCAAATTGAGGACTTCTATCTGAGAGAAGACATGAGCAGAATTCTTCCTAGCGAAAAAGATAAAGTGTCTGTGAAGGTTGAGAGCGGCAAGAAAGCAAGACAAAAGCGATTGCTACTAGTAAATCTGCGCGAAGCACATGCTTTATTTAAGGAGGGTTCGAAGTTGAAGGTTGGATTTTCCGAGTTTGCGTCTTTGAGGCCTCCGCAAGTGCTACCTATGACACTTCGTGATCATGAAGTTTGCATGTGCAAATATCACGAAAACATAGACCTCCTCCTCCATACTCTTACCACCACTAGTCTGGTATCTTCGCACTACAAAACAGCAGACGATCTACTAAATGCTACAGTTTGCAGCCAAGAGGAAAGTAAGTGTATGGACAGAGAGTGCTCAAATTGTGGTGTTGACCAACTTGTAAATGAGCTTTTCAATATAGATGACGAGCTACCTGTCTCATACTACCAATGGCGCACTCCAGCTGATGGCAGAGTGAACCTAAAAGCGCAGCTTGCTCCATTTGGAAGGCGTGTTTATAATGTCCCCCAACAGTTTCAGGAGCTAAGACACCTGAAAGATTGTCTTCCTGCTGGCGAGGTTATTATTCATGAAGATTTTGCCGAGAATTTTCAGCTTAAACATCAGAATGAAATCATGGCTGCACAATGGTCGAACGAAAGTGTCACACAATCTTTACAGCTTTTGCATAATTCAGAAACACAAAAGAGGGAGCTATCGAGCATGCCTTTTTTGCTGTCAAAGAGTGATGAGATGTCCCATGACAAGAGCACCATTTGTACATTTAACAGTGCTATCATCGATTTTTTAAAGAAAGTGACAACAATTACGAAAGTTCACTAATGGAGTGATGGGGTATCGTCACAGTTCAAAAACAAGTAAAATCTACGTGCCAGCAAGTTAACAAGGCAAAGAACACTGTAGTTAAACAACGCTCACCCCGATCCTAGCCGCTGTTGACGGCGTTTGCAATAAGAAGCGACAAAAAACATTTCTCATTCACGACGAGTTGACAGAAGCAAATAAAGCTCTACTTTTCTTCTCAAAAGGGGTAGTGATTTAAACTTTTGACGTTTTCCTTCAAACCATTGATGCTAAAGCTTACAAAAAGATTAAAAACTATGATATGCCATGTTTGAAGATACTGTAAGCTGAAAGAGCCTACTTTCGCGCATCTTCTGTTTACGGCTACATGTTCTCGCATGAATTTACCCGTCAATCAAACTAATCGTTTTTTAATGGTTACCTTTCTGATTCGGCCGAGATCACTTCGTGTACATATACTAGAACAATTATTCACCTCAGGCGAATCCATCCATCGTTCTCCTAGTGACAAGCTAGCCGTTGTTCACTCGTCTTGCTTGTTTGGGGCTGAGTCTTATTCCGGTCAAAGAGAGAGAAAGAGTGTCTGGCAAGATTTCCAATCAAAGATTTGTGAACTCGTGTCTGGCAAACACTCCAAGCGTTTATGGCGGAGCTCTGGCGCACGAAGCGAGCCTGCGAAGCACCATGGGTAAGTAAATCTACCCATCTCAAAAAATTTGGTAATCACGTGACCGTACACCGCCCGTCCGTCTGCACCACAGGGCAACCAATGTTCAATCTTACACTTTCTAGCTAGTTTGGGAGCACAGGAAGACTGATATTGCACACATATTGTACATCAATGTTGTGATCAATTGACAGCTGTCAAAACCGGGTATCCGCTGACCAGTATCACCTGACCATATCGCGGGCTCAGGTGTCGACCCATCGAGGTCGAGTATGTTTTTGAAGTTATCCGCTGACATGTTACTAGTTTTCAAATGATTGCAGGCTCAAGTTTAATTTTTTTTTAATTCATATGAATTATGTTGTGTTTTATATGTGCCGCACAGTTAACATTTTGATTTCAAACTGACCTCGGCAGCTAAAATTCAGCCAGTTTTTACAGGCAGGAAAGACATGCTAGTTGCTTTTGACTTTTCTCACTGAAGGTCACGCGTTGGTCACGCTCTACGTCCAATTTTTATGCTCTGATTGGTCAAAACTTGACAGGTGAGTTCATGCGGAAAATTTATGCAGCATCTTGAAACTTGTCTACTTCGACAGCTGAAGCTGACGGAGTTTTGTGTCAACTTGTGATGTTTTTAACTGTCTTTTTCCACTGAATGTACAAAGTGAAATTCAGCTGCTATCAAGAGTCTTTTGTTATTCATGGCTAGTTTGTTTATTGGGTTTTTGGTTGAGAAATACGCCGTTTGTCAAAGTCGGAAATCCGATTTTCGGATGGCATCGTTTTCGTTTTTCACCTTGCTTGATGCGTAAGAGGGTTGAGAAGTCTGAAGCGATTTTGGCCTTACTTGATAGTTTTCAGTGCATCTCAAATGGTAAGCCTGAATAATTATTTTATTTGATTTTTTTTTATATCTAATTTAATGAAGTCGAGCGTAGTTTATGGGGCTATTTAGTTTATGCACGTTTGTAAGATTTGAGGCAATGATCTGACCGAGTATGACGTTTGATTATAAGCTTATAAGATTATAATATTTGTCTTCCTGAATGAAAATTGTTGTCTCTGTATATGTTTCACCGAACGTTTTTCCTTTTATTATTAATTGTTAGTATATTGTCTGTATATATTTCACCGAATTATTTTCCTTTTATTATTAATTGTTAGAAGTCTCTTTGCAATTTTAATTTTTTTAATCGCTGTGCCGTTTGCTTTCAGTCGCTTATGAACATCGCTTGCAGGAGTAGTCAAAATGCCATGCGTATTCCCCCTGAAACGCTTTTGAAGATTACAGTATACAGTATGGGGCCCAGTTCTCGGCCACTTTTTTTGTTCAACGTTTATTTTTCGAGCCACAAATGAATCTGAATGAAAAGCAATATTGTTTCCAAAGGTAGCTTGATTCCTTGTCTTTCGTCCTGCCGAGTTTCGAGTTTACAGGTACTATATACTGTGAGCACGTCGAGGTGACGCGCAGGTAGGTGAATTGGTTTCCCCGAAAGCGTGTTTGTTTACGGCTACTCGAATTACATGGTTTAATTCAAGTTTATATTTTATCCGTATAGAGGGCCCAAATGAGCCAATTCTTGGCATAAAGAACGTGGAGTGATAAAGCTATTTGTTAAATATAAACTTTTGCTGGCGTGTTTTATTCTTTGACCTAAATTCACTCCTCAATATTTCCTTAGTACTTTTGCGTATTTGCCTATTCTCGGCCACCCTGCTCGCCGTCGACACTAAAAAGCGCTCATAGTTTGATAGCAGAGGAACCGAAATTTTAAATACAATTTCATCCGCTCTGGCAAGAGTGAAAGAAAGAAGTGTTCTGACAGTAGATATGAATTAAAACTATGAGTTCTGACTTAAACCGTGTTTAAAAAACCCAACTCTTTTTTAGCCTCAATTGACTGCACTTAAGAGAAAAACTAGGTGTGCAAAAAACTTCCTTTTCTAACAGAAACAAAGCTCTTTAAGGACAATTTGTAAGCGATTTAACAACAAAAAATGGTAATAAAGCGTTCTTTATTTTGGGGAATCGAGCGCACTCTTTTGTGGCCGAGAACTGGGCTCGCTGGCCGATAACTGGGCCCACGAACGAAGCCTCCATTTTCGTTAATACTTGGGAGAAAACAGCGTTGACCAGTCGATAGCTTTGCATCTGTCAACTGAATGCTGAAGCTACTTGTGTGTGAAATTTCAAGTCCTCACAGCTATTCCAAGGTAAAAAATACAAGTTTACGTTTTTTTGTGGCCGAGAACTGGGCCCCATACTGTACACATCGTTATAAAACCGTTAGATAAAAAATAAACACAACAAATTCTTTATTGTGTTGAAGCGTATAACTCTATTAATCTTAATTCAAACAGTCGACTTTGGCGCTTGTCAAAAGTGAGAACCGGCTAGTCGTACAGGTGATTTTGGAAATTTTTTTAACGGTTTCGCTAAAAGCACAGGCGTGCTTCGATCGTCCTGAATATTGAATGAGTGCAATTTGTATTGCAAAATTGTGAAATACTGCATTCTATCCGAGGTCTGTATGATAAAAACAGCGCCTCATGGTACTGTTTCACCTCAGATGTGATGTATAAAAAGTATAAAAGGTTGGTTTACCCGTCCCCAGACTTGTTGGCAAGATTTTGTAAAGTAAACTTGTCGAACGCAAAAATTGGGCCCCCTTTTCCAAGAATTTGTTTTCCAGGCCTAATCTACTGTGATCAAGAGCCATTCTGGGTATGCTATTTTTGGGTGTACATATAAGGCTATCAACTCGATGCAAGATTAAGTTCACTCTTAGCTTGGACTGTTTCCAAATTATTTTTCTCTAAAATCACTTAGCCTTTCCCTCAAAAGTCACATGAATGTGCTCTAAAGTAGACTGATTTGTGGAATACAAGTTTATTGTTTGATTTAAATTATAAATTCGAGTTAACAGGAGCTTCGCTTTTAGCCCTGGCTAAATCTATATATTATATACTCAGTTATACGCACCTTATAACTTCATCTGCGCTTAACGAGTGTCTTTTGGTCCATAACTTTCAAAACAACTGCTCCACAGAATGTCACTGATAACACGTAACGCAAAAGAGTATCGAAGTATGACTGCACAATAAATGTCACAAAGTCCACCTAAGCGGTCCCTTCGGGATTTTCTGTCTTTACTTCATTCTAACCATTTCGTACTAGCGGGCGCAAACAATAGAAACGTCATCATTGCCTACCGATTCCTCGCGGCCCCTGTTCAAGCAAATCGAGATTTTTTTTCTGGCATACTGACTGTATCCTTCAACTGTATGTACTTTCCTTAATATACGCACGAGTTACTAGAGTGCCCCCTCGGAATTTCGCCTTCTGGGCGAAATCCCTGCGGGGACGATAAAAGTCAAGCGCGCGCTCTGATTGGTCAGTTAGCCATCTGCCATTTGCCCGTTGAAAGTTGCAGAAAAAAATTCAGCTGTCGTTTTAAAGAAAATTCAAAAGGTTAAGCGACAAATTTGCCCTGGAGAAATTTATCACTGTTTTCGTCGGGGCTAGGAGCTCAGAAGAAAAACCGAGTGAGCGCAGTTTTTTGAGTATTTAAGCCCGAGACTTTAAAGAACATTTTGTGTGTTTTTATAGAAGAGAAAGTCTGTTTTGAAATGGAAATTTATCAATCAGCATTGTGTTACTGACCTTTACAATGTAAGTCGAGGTCATGTTAAATTCAATTAAATTTTTTGGGAAACGCGCTCAGATTAGAGACAGCTTTGTTGTGTAGCTTTCATCTCATCGATTAACAATTTTGGTTGAGTTACGGACACATTACGCTGGAATTGTAATGCGAATTTCATTTGATTACAGGGGTATTTCGGTTTTCAAATAAATTTTTCAAAAAATGACTTGTTTGTTTATTGTTTTGTTTATGTTCATACATAACTGTAGTTCAAAGAACGGTCGTTAAAAGACAACATCTAGGCCTGGCTCAGAAGCCGTACTTTTCACGAGCCGAATCTAAAACATTGAATTAAGTATATGAAAAGTTCGGCGTCTGAATCAGTTAAGAACGCCTGTTTCAATTTGGAACGGCTCAGCCATTCCTTTCGCCTAGCCCGGCCGGGAATTTCGCCTTTGAAGCGACTTTGGAACGCCTTTGATTCAGACGCAGAACTTTTCATATACCGATTTAATGCATAAACTCTTATGACGTATGTTGTAAGCAGTTTGACCGAAATGAACATTTTTCTCCTTCTGAATTTAGTTCGGCTGGAATTAAGATCGGCGTCTGGATCAATTCAGCGGGTCTAATTAATTTGGGTCGGCCTTAATTCGAATTAGGTTCTGATCACGAAAGTTCGGCGTCTGAACCAGGCCTTTTTGCTCACCGACGCATCGCTTCAGCGTCGGGTGTGTCGGCGAATTCTTGCTAATTTGACTTTCAGCTCGATTTTCCCGGTCAAATTACAATACAAAGATAGTTAATTTCGCTTTAAAATTAGTGTTACCTGTTGTTCTAAAGGAAATACAGTCAATTTTTTTCATTTCAACGTCAACGTTTATTGCAAAAATTGCCACACACTTAAGCTTAAGCCTATTTTTTAGATACAATTTTCCCTCAAATTATTTACCCTAACATTAAGAGCAAGTAAACAGATGCCATTTAGAACAACAACAAAAAACGTTTTGCAATTTACCCTAAGACGGATAACGGTTGATTCAGCGAAAAAAAATTTAAAGGCAAGTTTTTGAAAGGCATGATTTGTTTATGCACGGGCAGATGACAGCAAACATCAACTTGTCTACAGCACGGATGACTCGACCGAAGGCAAATGGAAATATTTTCTCTTTTTGATTATGTTATAAAAGAAATGGTAAACGTTGCAGCTGTGCAACCATCGGGTTATGGATGCACTTAAGAGGTTTGCTAAGCACCCAAGAAGCTAGAGTTGCACTCGGTTATCGCCTCATGCAACTCTAACGCTTTTTTTCGTGCTTAGCAACGTCCCGCGTGCATTCATAACTCGATGGTTGCATGTTGCATGTTTACCATTTCTTAAATAGTTTATAGTGAGTGACTCTTAGGTTGTAAGAAAAAAGCGGCCAAGTGGTCATAGCGAGGCCCGATTAAAAATTGTGCAAAACGTGTTTTGTGCGGGCTTGTTGAAAAGATGGTGAGACAGTAAATGTTTTCTTGTTTTGTCTAAAATGGCGTGTAGTGAGGGAGAAGCTTAATCATTCAAATTAAGCTTTCTTCTAAACTTGTTCCCAGTGCAAAAGGAGGACGGTAAAGAAAAAAGAAGTCAAGACGAAAAGTAATCTTGATAAGCTGAAAACTGGAACAAATCTTCGAACAATACGTGCGCGTAGATCGCAGTTACCAAAAATGCTGTGTCACGGTGTCCGTTCAATATTACATGTAAGGCCATTTATCCATTTATCAAAGAGGACATCAATCTGGGGGAATAACAGCAGTGAGCACAGTCACCTAAGGTTAGGGTTAGTGCCACTTTCTTTGTTTTTAACACCTCATTTAATTTGTGATAGAAAATCAAACAGGCTTGAATAATTATTACCAAATACAATGGTGTTCGTTGCAGCTGGAAAATGCATGGTTGAAGTATTGAGTAGGTGGTTTTATTTCTTCTCAAAACGGAAACCTGCGACGCTAAAAACTGTTGAGAGTTTTTCGTAGATGCTGTATTTTGCATTGTTAAGATTTGCTTCAAAAAGAAAAGGGCAAATACACAGTAACATATAGGAGTTCTTAAATCTCACCACGCATTCAGCATAAAGTTGTTCTTCTTGTAGTGATTACTCAGTTTCCTTTGCAGTTAGGAGATACTGTAGTCAGTCGGCACTCTTCCTTTATTTGTGCGTCAACTCAGTTCGTAAATGTGTTTGCGTAGCATTTTAAGGTTAAATTTGACTAGCATTTTGTGCTGCGAGTTGTATGGTCGTGATTGATAGCAAACTTGCAGGTAAATAACTGAGGATTTCTGAGGGTGATTTACTGAAGTAAGGGAGAACTCTGTCGTAGGGTTTCGAAGTTATTTACATTTTTTGTAAAAATGCGCTTTAAGATGTATGCCGATATCCCAAACGTTTTTATTCCTACAAGAAAATAAATAACATTTCCTTAAAAGTCCACCATTTTTTATTAAGGATGCCAAAAATCATATAAATCGGGTAAATCATTCCTGCCCAAAAACGCGATTCAAAAACATAACCAACAAGGATAAAAATATATATAGGTTCGGGCCACCTTAAAAACATATCTTTGTAGTGATCTAGAAGCTGGGGTTTAACAAGGGAGTTTTATCTGCAACTTGCATTGCGTCACTGAATGACCCGCATTGCTTTATAATGTTTAATTAGTAATTTTAATTACTAGAAATAAGAGTTGACAGGCCAAACACGACTCATAAGCTCGTGATGATGATCATAATAATAATAATTATAATAATAATAATAATAATAATAATAATAATAATGATAATAGACATTTATATAGCGCATATACAGCAGCTCCATGCGCCTTACACAATATTCACACAATAGTAACAAAATTTTAAAAAGTTAATAAATAAAAATGAAATTTAGATAAAAATTAATTTTTGAAAGCGATATTAAAAAAAAGGTCTTTTAAGAGTCGAGAGGCGCATTAAAATTACCAGTTGAGGAGATTTGGGTTACTAAATATGTGCATTCTTGAACAATATCAAGTGGTACTTGTAAGCCGCCCCTAATAAATGGTTCTTTACAGTATTTAATCACCATCTTGAACTTTTGAAGAAGGATTAGCCAAAGATAGCAGCCGAGAATCGAGTACTTTTTCTTCAAGCAACTGATTTCCAAATAAGGACTTTTAACTGGGCTGCCATTGGCACCCCCTGTCTAAAATCCTCTTTCTAAGGAACGTCGACACTTGTTCTGCTCAAGTTCATCTCAAAACTTATCAAAGCAAGCTACTTCCAAGGCCTTCAACTGACTTTGTTCTGTCCTTTAAGAGTCTACAGTTCTAACAGTTTTGCTTTTGTTTGTATTCGTATTTTCCTAAAATTTGTGAATGATCGTGTCATGCGTCATCTCCTCGATTCTGTATATTCGACCAATTCAGCAAGCACTATTCATGTAAGCAGTGCTTGTTTCGAAAAACATTTGAATTTCCAAGACAGATTAAATGAAAGAGGGGTTCAAACTGCGACAGCAATTAGGATAATCGCAAACTGATACTAAATTACCGACAACAGCCTCAAGATGCGAAACGACCGGTTTTGAAAGTCAGACTTACGGACATTCTCTCCCCAAAAAAAAAAAAATTGCTTCACACTTTATTGGTGTCTCAAGAGCCAGTTTTAATTTGGCAAGAGGGGTTTCAATTTATCTCGTTGGTTTTGGTCCGTGGGAATTCAGGAATTTTTTTTTCATTTTTCTCACGACATTTTCTGGACATATTAAGGTGGCTTGTACTAGTTTTCTCGCGTGGGGAGTCACTCCACTTTTGAACGCACGAGATACAGAAAACAAATATGGCGGCGCGCGGCTTTTTTTGTGCAAGTTTTAATACCTTTTTGTGACGTTACTTTTGGCCTGTCTTATATAAAATTCGCATTTATCTTAAAGAAATAAAAAACGCGCAGTGTGCGTTGTTGAGTTATATAAGCACTTGGGAATTTATTTTCTCGCACTTCTCGAGTGTTCTTAAAAATTCCCAGGTGCTTATATAACTCAACAATGCACGAGGAACAAGGTTTTTGTTTCTTTTATAAGATAGAAATGCAATAACAGATGGGTCCGTGGGTCCGTGGGTCATTCGTTCGACCATTTAATTTTCAATTCAGAAACAAAAATTGAAAATCCAAGACAATTTTTGTTTTCCAATATTTTTCTTCCGGCATAACGGTTACACATGTTTCATAATTGTTTGACCGTTTTCCCCTGTAAACAAAAATTAGAAAAATAAACAAATAGCTCTTATTTTCAACAGTCAATGTTCAAACGAATATTGAACCATAGATATTTTAGCTATTCGCGGGAAAACCGTTTCCGTAGTCAGCTGTCATTTAGAATGACGCGAATTTAGAAGAAAATTCAAAATTGAATGTTGCGATCAGTTTTCATTTTTTGTTTTTTGAACGAAGAATTGATCAATCGATCACGCTCCAAGTGACAAAAGTACCTAGAGGAGAGGGCCCAAGTGCAAAAGTACCCAGGAGGGGATGGGAGGGAGGGGGAGGGACTGAAGCCGGGAGGAAAGGGCCTTGTACTTGTCCATGTTATCATCATTTCCAGGGCTTATTTGGCCTAGTGGGGTACGCACAGGATGTGGGTTTCTGGGTCTTGAGTCTTTAACAGGGTATATAATGTCACTATTTAGCGCGCGGCCTTGGACAGGGTGTCTTTTTGGACCGGTAGCCTTGAAAAGAGTGTGGAGGTTGGCGATGAGCGGTCTAAATGTGTGGTACAGTCAAACCCGGTTATTACGGACACTGAGGGGGGCATAGAAAGTGTCCGTATTAATTACGGACTTAATTATTGTCCATATTATGCAGGTTGAATTTAAAGAGAGTGTGATTTAGGCCTTTCTTTCCTCAGGACTGTTCGTAATAATGAGGTGTTTGTATTAGCGGGCGTCCGGCGGGGTTTGACTGTACCAACATTATAATTATTTAGGTTTAAAAAGTCACTTAACTCTGTGTGCGAAACGAAATGAAACAGGGTCCAAGGTCTCTTGTCTTGCTTGTCTTAAATGGGTAGCGAAATGAACGATTTTTGTCTTAAACAGAGTTTAGGGTTTGAAAACTTCGATCGGCAGCACACCTCTGCCCAAACTTTCCTTGTGTGACCCACCCCCGCCCCGATATTCGATATTTACCCTTAAGAGTAGCTTTCTTAAGTGGATCTTGTAAGAATTTTTTAAGACTGCATTCTTTTTTCAAGACTGCTAAGGGTTATTCTGGCCTCAAGAAAATTGTTTTCCTGCCTTCAGTCGTAAAAACGATCAGCTTTCTTTCATTATCCTAATCACCCTCTCTCCTGACTTCCTCCCTTTTCTCCCCCTACGCTTGAAAGGTTGATGCATGCTATAACAAAGTGAACAGCTATAGGCAATGAAGACTAATCTGCAGAAAACAAAAAACTACAAAGAGCGAGAAAAATTCAAACAAAAAGACCCAGCCGAGCGACAATTTCCTTCCGACAGGGCTCCAGCGCTTCTTCGTATCCCATTCTTCAACCTGAAGCAAAACCTTGTTACGGACCGCGAACTAAAGCCTTTCTTTCTAGGATACGATTCTTGTAGAAACAAACTGAATTGTGAATGTTTTTTCCCCTGCGTAGCAACAGAATCTTGAACTCGATGCTTACGTCGTCCATGTTTGGGCTGAAAACAGCTCCAACGTTGATCGAACTTCCCGCTTCTTTCCTGAAGCTCATTCCTAGAAACTATGGCGCGCAAGTACAAGGCTTCTTCCTTCCCACCCAGTTAAAGGCGCTAAGTAGTAAAAAGCCCCCCTTCCTCCTTCCTTCCCCCTTCAGTCACTTACCCCTTCCCCCTCCCCCCTGAGCATTTCTGCACTTGGCTCCTCCCCTCTTGGTACTTTTGTCACTTGGAGCGTGATCGATTGATCAATTCTTCGTCCGAAAACAAAAATTGAAAATTGATCGCAACATTCAATTTTGAATTTTTTTTCTAAATTCACGTCATCGGTAGTTAACAGATGACTGCGGAAACGGTTTTCCCGCGAATAACTAAAATTTCCATGGTTCGATAACCGTTTTAATATTGATTGTAGCAAATAAGAGCTGTGTGTTATTCAGTCTCATTTTTGTTTACAGGGGAAAACGGTAAAACAATTATGAAACCTGTTTATCCATTATTATTGAAAGTTAAATGGACGAATGACCCGTGGACCGAAAACGCCGCCCGTTTTGCGAACTACTTTTAAAATCATTACAGATCTGCAAAATGTCCGTGCAACTCTTTACGAAACAGTTTCGCAAGTAAGTTCAGAAAAAAAAAAAACAGTACACCACCTTAGCGACTGCTGGAAGGCAGATAATTGTTTATTTGCAACGAAAGCGACTGGATGTTGCAATTGTTGAACATGCCATCGAGCGTTCCGTTGTGGACCATCGTGGCAGAAGTTGTTGTTGCTGAATGTCTGTGTTCGTCGACCACTGAAGTAGACGTTTCGCACCTGAGCAGTTGCGGAGAATTTTGAGAACTCTGATTGGCAACTTGTAGAGCAGAGGACAACACATCACTGCATTTTCTGAGCTGCGAGGACGAAGCTCGAGAATTGTAGTGCTGAAGGCTAAGTTGTTCTGTATTTTTAACTAAACGAACTCTAGCTATTTCAGTTCGCTGTGATTTCTCTCGTTAGTAACGAAGTAATTTTTTTTCTACGTCCTTTCATACCTTTAAAAACTTTTACAGCCCAAGTTGTTGAACTTTTTTGTGGCTTTCGCCTCTGCGTCTGCCAAAAGTTGATTTCTGTCTTGTTCACTAAGGTGTATAAACCTCGCAATGTTTTTTCAGTTGAAATTTTATCCCACTGGCAATCACTCTTTTCGTCTTTTTCAACATTTAGAAACTGAAAGCCAAGGTCAAAGCACAGAAGATCTTCAGCCATTAGGGCGGACAGGCAAAAAAATATAAATTTCTGTGTTTGGCAGAGAGTATGACGTAGCTTGCGTGCATATGTTGCACTATAATGCACGCGTGACGTGTGCTGCGAGCTTTATGGAGATATAATGAACTGGTCTCGACCAATCAGAATCGAATTTTAACCTTGGTTTTTTTATAAAACTCTATATACACTGTAAAATCCTAATTTCTCCGCTCAATGCGTAACTCAAAGGAATACTTGCAATTTTTTGTGCACTAAGTACTAGCACAACAACAAAAATAATAAACTAGAATTCTACCACAATTAACCACACTTTATCTTCTTGGCTACATTTCGTCGTTTGGATCATGTTTACCCCAAAGCTACTGTGTAGCGTCCTTACAAGATCAACAAAGAAAATTAAAAACTTTAAGTCGATTTTCCCGACAGTCTTCAGCAAACAATTTTGTCTTTGTCACTTCGTTTTGTCTCTTGATGTTGAAAAGTGAGTCCAGAAGGCGATGTTTCATGTTACCAAACGTTACACTGAACAGAAAAACATAGTAACAATACGTAAATTGGACGCGTGTAATTTTGTTTCTCTTCTCTGCAAAGACTGTAAACCCCCTGACTCGATTGATGCCTGTAAGTATACACGCAGTAGTCAGCGGTAGTCAAAACAGTGCATGATTTTACGACCACGAGAACACACTTGGGAATTTGTGAAATCTCGAAGTATTTTACAAGAAAACAAGTCCGGTGACCCCCTATTTTTCTATATTGCCTTAATATTTTGTTAGAGTTGAAAAGAGCCGCAAGAGAAAAAATGAAAAAATTCTACAGAAGGAAATTTCTACTGAATAAAAAATTGTCCTATTTTCCCCTTTCGCAAAAAGTCTACTCTTTTTTTTTTTTTTTTTTTTGCGCGTTTTGCTTTTCTAATGCCAAAAGTTGTCGCCCCCAAAAAGTAGGGGTCACCTGCTTAGTTTTCTAGTTATCAGTGCTGGAAGCTAAAAAGTAGGTCCATATAATCCTTTAGATAGGCAGCCATAGTAACTGCTAATGCATGACGAAATAATAGTTATTTTAAGTCAAGCATTCATTGTATAATCCAACTCTACAAAAGTGCTGTTATGGCTTTGGCTTGCTTTTTTGTTGTTGTTGTTAATTTTTTTTTTTTTTTGGTTTGTTTTTTTTTTTTTTTTTTTAAGTTAAAACTGTCAAAAAGGAGGGAACCCGTAGCCTACTTAACTTTTCAGAGGTTGAAAGAAATAGCAAAAGCAAAAAGTAAACTCCAGTTATACTTCAAAACTGGCCTCTCCTCAGTGTATGAAGTATCAAATTTGTTGTGACTCGGTGTCAAACTGTCTCAAAATCGGCTGTCGTCTAAAATGCTGACTGGTGAATAATAAATAACAAACAAAGAAAGAAATACAATCCTAGTAAGGAGTTGAAGATATGCGACTGTGCTTCTGACCATGATTATGAATTCTAACCGTGTAAGGCCCAGTTCAAACGTCGAATTTCACATGTGCCGAATTTAATTGCTATTTTAGTCGACTAAAATAGTTAAATACGGCATTTGATTCAAACGTCGAATTTATCTCACTGAACTCTGTCGAATTTAACTCTCTTCGCTGTCAATATTCTCAGTAATATAATAATAATTTACTAAAATTCATTCATTAAGTTCGGCACATGTGAAATGCGACGTTTGAATCAAAAGTCGAACCTAAGTCGAATCTTCGACTTTTTCAGTCGCAGATACGGCAAACGTCGCATTTAATTTAAACAGTCGAATTTAATTGATTCAGACGTCGCACTTCACATGCATTTAACTCTCGCGTTAAGTTCGGCACATGTGAAATTCGACGTTTGAACCGAGCCTAAGAGTGATTTATGCTGCCATTTCGATTAGATATCATACAAGTGTGATTCTCCGGCATCTTTAGGTACTTTATTACCAAACTGAGGTGTTGAGGTACTCTTCCAGTTGTCTCTTTCCAAAATCTTTTAAAAGGTGGTGTCCCCTCTGCCTTACACTTACGCTTAACTGAGTATGAGTTTATAGGTTCTAAATGCTCTTTTTAAAGCTTCAGAGAAGAATGGTTTTCCTAAAATAGAAGAGCTGTAGACACCTAATTTTCCTTAAGATCGTCAATGTCACGTTGTAGTGCATTCTTGTTTTAACTTGGCCGAGTGTAACGTGGGGTAAAACCCAGACGTCCGCTCATTATAGTAAGCGCTTTATCTCTCCAGAGTGAGTACTAAGGGAAATTGGGAAACATTTACCTTACTGTTACAAACTGAACATGCCTCTGGTGTGAGGGGCAAAACTGCATCGCTTCCCACCGAACCAGACGACGTGCTCTGTAATATTTTCTATGTACATGTAATTCCGACAGCTCAGATCATAACTCGAGCCATACTAATTGCGTGTTGTGGTAAACACAGGTTGGATAAATGCTTGTAAAATTAAAACTCACGGTTAACATTCTGGTTTTATACACAACTTACAACTTCTTACCTCGTTTAGAAGGAGTAGTGGGCCTCACGTATCTGCTGAGGAATGCGCTGTTATATTCCGCTCCAATGTGATTACTCGCATAACAAGTGTACAGTCCAAAATCGTCCTCAGTGACATTGATAATTGTCAACTCACTACCATATTCGCTCCCCCATTGCAAAGGAAGATAATATCGTGGATCTATAAGTTTAAATGACCCATTTTCTAAGTTGTCTTCTATCTTTGACACAAATGTGACAGATTTGTCCCATTTTAGCCACCTAAAATCTGGAAGCGTCCCACTGACCACGACACGGCATTTCATCGTAGCATTTTTCCGTATCTCTACAGTCGTGTTCTCTGGAAGATCCTTTCGCAGGATAGGTCGAGTTCGTGGTTTGGCTGTTAAAAAAACGATCAAAGAAATTCGTTAAAATATACATAAGTCTTTTAAAACAGCTGAGATGGTCGCGTGAAATAGTCGTATTGTAACGGAGAACTTAGACGGGAAATAGCCAAATTGGCCCAGAGAAACAAGTAAGATTATTTTACATGGTACTGTACGATCATTTTGTAATTCGCTTTTAAGGAATAACCGTGAACCTTTTCCACGTCACGACTTTAACACCCGGTTAAACGCCAGGCCTCAACCGTCCTTCAACTTTTATGGAGTCAGTTTGAGAGATGTAGAGGCCATGCATAGTCAAACGGTTCGCATCTTTTCAACAAGATAAGGCGTTCGCTGAAAACTGCACTGTCTTATTGATCGAGAGAACCTGTCAAACGGAATCAATGTTTGGGGTTTAGCCCCGGAGGGGTTCCCATATAAAAGTGACGGGGGTGCTCGTCGTCTCTTTTAGGGGTGTACATTGCAGATTTCGGTCTCACTTCGGATGCTTCGGACGGAAAGTCACCATATTTGCCCATTCCGGTATCGCTTAGGGCTGTGCATAAAGAAATTTAAAAAAACGCCTTGACACTGAACGCACAGAAATCTAACGCTTAAAAAAGAACACGACACACTCTAGCTCTTATGTCTGTTTGCGTGTTGTCTCCTTTAGGGGTCGGTTTAAGCTTGAGCCACACCCACATTGGTCTCTCTTAGGGGTTTAATTTTAATTTTCCGACGAACATCCCTGTCACTTACATATGGAAGTCTCCCCTGGAGGTTAGCCGCCTTTTTGCTCAGTTGGATGAGCACCGGTTTACTTTGGGTAAGGTCACGGGTTAGAACCCCGGCAAGACCCCCAGTAAGGGTCTAATAAGATCGGAGAGGCTGTGGTCAGAAGATCACGTCGCTGGTCAGTGACGATAAGCTGTTGGCCCTGTCTCTTTCATCACTCCTTTACAATTTGAAGGAGGCGTAAAATACCTACACTTTTGTTCGAAAAGAGAAGTGGACTTAGGGGTCTATATTCTACTTTTTCTACAGCTGTCTCTGTTGTGTTGGCCTTGCCATGAGGTGAATGCTATAAAACTCTTTACACCGAGTACAACCTTTTCTCAGTGCGTTTATAGTTGTTAATATGGGATATCAAGTTTGTTATGAATGGGCATTAACCCATTCGCTCCTGGAGATTTTGCCGAAAAACGCGTTTTGAAGCTAGTCGAGTGGTTTTCTGGTCACTGTCGTACTATAAAGAGCTAAAACTTACCACAAACCGGTTTACAGGTCGTACACTTGGCGGCCTTCTGATCCAGATGCAAAATATCAGCTTGCGAAGTTGGGGCATGCGCAGAAAGCAAAATTTCGTTTTTGGGTTTAAAAGTGACACAGCAGTCTTGACTTTTACTTTTCGCTTTCTCTCCTCCCTTCTTTTTTCGCTTTTCTTGCCTCATTTTTTTTTCTCTTGCTGGGCATTTAGTAGGCTTCATTTTGGTGGGAAGAGTTTTTAGGAAAGCTTTTAGGATCTTAGGATTAGGTGAAAGGAAAGGTAGGTGGGTAATGGAACAAGATTTTCATGGAGATTTTCAGGTCCTTGTCACGTGGTTTTTTGCTTCTTTCTCCGGTGTCCTTGACTGAATTGTGCTCATTCTGGTATGGTTTGAAAGATCTCTTCACTCTACACAAGTTAGCGAAGAAAGTTTTCCTTGACCGTTAAAACTGATGACGTCACAAAGGGTAGAAAGGACCTGAATCCACACGGGCGGTTATGGGCGGTTCAGGGGTGAATGGGTTAAACTGTCTCAAAAATCGGCTGTCCGTTGAGAGTCTAAAAAACTACGAGTCTACAATGGAACCGAAGATATGCAGCCGTGTTCTTACCTAGAACTCTGACCGTGTAAGTATGATTTATGCTGCCATATCGATTAGATACTATACAAGTGTATCGTCCAGCATCTTTAGGTACCAGATCTTTCAGTTTAAGGTACCAAACTGAGGTGTTAAGGTATGGGTCCAGTCGTCTCCCTTTCAAAGGCGTTCCGTCTTTTAGCCAGGTGTATTTAAGTGGTGGTGTCCCCTCCGCGTTACATTTAAGCTTAACTGAGTGAGACGCTGGCCAGGCTTTGAATGCTCTTTTTAAGGTATCTGGGTCGGAGAAGACAGGCCCTAAAAAAAAGAAGGTCAATTAAAGCAAACACGAGTATATACTCTTCACAGTTCCCTAGTTTTTTTTTGTGAGATCGTCCAAGTCGAGCCCCCACTTCTTGGTTTATGGCAGAGTCTAACCTTGGGTGAAACCTGTTGTCCGCTCGCCCAATACAATACAATTTAAACAGTTTATACATTGCTAATATTCAACCGTCACCTTTGTGCGTATATCTTTGTGCCGTCACGCAACACTCCTCCCATTAGAGTGAAATTTGAAACAATTAAAGGCTCCTGTGAGCCAGCTCATGGATGAATTGGATAAGTGTAGAAAAGACAGTTCAATAGTCAACAAGACCACCAAAATGGGGGAACATTAGTCCGCCGCGAAAGTGACAATTTGTTAGTCGAGGCTGTATAATAACTTCTACCAGCGAACAAAAATAGGCAAGTGAGTCTTATGAAACAAGAAAAGATAAGGTGACTTGAAATACCAAAAATTATCGTCAATCTGCGCTTCTTAAACATGACAGGGTCAACTCTTGAAGTTTTAAAATGCTGTCATATAGCAGTAATTTTCGCACTGTCAGCCTCAGGTTTGTCAGTATAGGTATTTTTGCGAGTTACCGACGTAAAATAAGGACCTTGATCTTTACCTATGCCTTTACTACTTTCTTGATATTTCCTACGGTACTATGATCAGACAAGGAGAAATTGTTTAACAATCAAAACCTCTTTGGCTAATCATGCTACTCATATCATGACGGATGTTCGTCATTATGGGTTTAAAGGGGTGGTCATAACTGAATCAGTAGGTTTCGTAGATAAAAATTCTTTTGTTGGACGTGTTTTCCAAATGATACAAAATACTAAGAGGGTTACAGCTTCTTAACCTACCTGGTGATTGCACTGGTGGTTGCAAAGTAGCACTAGCGGGGGTCGTTGAAATACCTACAAAAAATATTGAGTAAACGTGAATACACCGGGGAATCATGTTTATATTTGTATGTGCATGAAATGCAGTTCAAGCAACATTACTGGATGTTCCACCTCTACCTTCTAATAGTGTTGGTTCATTCATCACAAATGTCATAGGGTGTCTCTTGGGTAAAACAAAGATTTTCTTGCCACAACCGTCAGTAGAAGTACGGCAAAGTTTTTCCACTCAAGCAATGGTTGAAGTGAAATCTTACTTTGTCTTATATTTTTGTCTGCGTTTGCCCGGCGTGTTCAATTGATAAAATCGATAGTACTGATATAATATCGTTTGAAGGATTTGTGGTGGGTCTGTACTCAGTAGTAGATACTTATCGATTTTAGTCGACAAATATCGTAAGAAGTACACGAGAGTACACAAGAAGTAGAAAAAATTTGTTAAAGTCTCAAGTTCAGGAAATAAGCATTCACAGTATAAGTAGAACGGTCATGATCAACTCTATGTGCCATGGCTTTCTCATTTATTTTGTTTAAAAATGCTAATTAAGCCTTAGAATTCACTTGTGAATGACAAGATCACAGCGCTCTATCAAACAAGTATCACCCAAGAGTAAAATCAAACCCAGCAGACAACAAAAATAAACTTTGAAAAACTGTTAGGCGAAAAAGTTTTGAGAAACCACAATTGCAATCCGTTTCAATCTTGTTCAAGTTTATCCATTCGTGCCGCCTTTTGTATTTTCGGTGTTATTTATATCTTTTAATGTTGAGCTGTTATGTTTTTCGCTGTGGCTGCTGGGCATACAGCCACAGCGTGTGTTTTTTGTTTCACTCGGTAAATGGAACCCTCCTTACTCGAACCTCGAACCTCACGCTTTTAAACTCGAGCCAAAGTCGATTTCCCCCTGGATTTCCTTCATGCATTTTCTGTAATCTAACCGTCGTTAACTCAAACGAACCCTCAATAACTCGAACTTCCCGCTAACTCGAAGAAATGCTTTACTTATTTCCTTATTCCCGGTTACTTCCTTCGAAATCCCGATAGTACTTAATGTTTTTAAACTCCTGATCACAAGATCAAGATGATGTGGAGAAGTGAACAATACTGTCAACAGAGACACTTAGCCACCCATTCTATTTCTTAGCCAACTCTACGCCATAACAATCACAGTTGTATTCAGTTTTCACCCCCTACCTGGACGAACATCTAGTACGAGTTGTCGTGTTACATTCGCCACCTGCCCGAATGGATTTTCCGCAATGCAAGTGTAGTTTCCCTGGTCTTCGAGTTTAACGTTCCTTATCTTTAAGACACTGGCGTTTCCATTGGTATTATTCCTTATAGTTAGTCTTTCATTTTCTTGCTGCAACGGCTGATCATCTTTCAGCCAAGATATGGTCAGACGTGGGCAATCATTGACTCTACATCTTAATCGAACGATTGTTCCTTCTTTGACATTTTTAGGTCTTATGCTAGAACTGACTTGACAGTGAGGTGGATATTTGTCTGCAAAGGTAAACACAGTTTTTACAAAGTTATTAATATCACTTAAGTTTGGCACATACACCCCAAATGTTTCGAACGGGTATAAAATTTCTGCAGATTTTCCTTTTCTCTATCGACGGTGTCGGTTTGCAATAGGGCAAAAGTAACGACCCTCCCCCGCGAGAGTGACGTTTGGTCGATCTGACGCGGTCGCCAAGCTCCAAGATTCAAAACTCGTAGGATAACAGTCAGATTACGCATCATGGCGAAGCGTAGCTGGCCAGAATCGATGCGAAATGCAGCGCTCCTCGGGCTCATGCAGCCGAATTTAGAAACTCATGGCGCTCGTCGAACGGGTAGATATACACTCTTCTGTCCAGCTGGTGGCAATTTTAGGGAGATCGGTCGCTTTGTTTGGAATTTATTGGCCTTCGTGCGGCGAAGGTCGGTTGGAAGGTCTCCAGCCTTCCCTTCTTTTATAGTGTTCAGTACTCGATGGAAAGAAAGTCGACTAAACGGCGTTTAAACCGGCCGTAGGACACAGAGTGGCTATGAACTAAACGTAAGGGAGCTTTTTGAATCAATATTTCGCGTGATCATGATTTTTTTTCTTAGCGTCGTAGATTCGAATACATGTGATAAAATTCGAACAATAGGCCCGAATCACATGTAATAATTCAAGAAATATCGACCTTCGTTATCTTAAAGGCTACTAGTACAGGTAGACAAACAAGAAGACTTCATATCTTTAAGATTTTTGCATTTATTTGGCATCAGATAATGCACTAATAATTCTAGTATATTCCGACCAAATGACCTCTGAAGCCCGGACCCACACATAGTGCGCTTGGGCTGCCTGTGGTTTGCCAACCTTCTCTTCTCTTCTCTCTACTGTCATCTGGGTGAAAAACTGTCGCTCAAAAAAGGTATTAAACAGTGCCTAGGAGGTCTGAAATGCAGTCAGAATGCAAAGAAAAACAAGAAGACGCTTAAGGTAAGCTTCAAAGCAATATTCAGTGTACGTTTTGCTAATTTAGTGAGCAAAGAATATTTCTTCATACTAATTAATTAGCTTGATGGGTAGTGTTATTTTCTGGTTCTTGGCATTCTAAGAGGCCTGAAACGCAGTCAACACACAAATAAATGTAACAAAATACTAAAAGAAAAAATTAATGTATGTTTCGCTCAATTGTGGAGAAATAGGATAATTTTCGTACAACGTCTTTTAACTGTTGTCGTATGAATAATTAATTAGCTAAGTAGGATAATGTTGGGCGCGATCCATTCAACCAGAATTCAGACCGGTCCGACCGGGAAAAGAGGACCACCTCAAAAGGTGGACCTGTTTTTTCGAAACTTTTCCGGTTGGACCGAACCGATCCATTAAGTTTTGGACCGAAATTTCCGGAAATTTTGGTTGAATGGATCGCGCCCATTGAGTTTTGGACCGAAATTTCCGGAAATTTTGGTTGAATGGATCGCGCCCGTTGTTCAGGGCCCTCATAGTGAGCTTGGGCTACCTGTGCTTCATCGCGATTTAAGAGCTCAGCAAATATTTGAGTCTATATGTTGAACTTATTGATGAGATCTCCTTTGTCCTTGTTGATCAGAAACAAGTTTTCTTGCATGATTCAAATGAATAGAGTCATTGATCTTGGCATATTACTTCGAATTGATTTTCAAAGCGTGACGAGATCTCGTACATGGCAGTGCATTGAAAAAGCGGAAACCGATTGCCTTTTATGATGATTTGAACAAAGATCGATCTTTGTATAACAGCTTAAACAAGGAATACAAGGTCTAGAAACCCACAGACCCTAGAATATTCTTGTGGCAAAATAACAAATATGAAGCTATCCACTTACCGGGTGAAGCAGACTGCGTATTAACAATAAGGCTGAGAAACAATATCCACCGCTCTGCCGCTTTTCGCATACTAACGTCCACCAAGAGCTTTCCGTCCGAACTAACATTCCGGTCGACGCTGAATTTCGGCCATCGGTCGAGCAATAACTACGGAAAGAAATGATTTGCTTGGTGAGTGGATGGACTCTTCTCTGTCGTCTCAAGTTGCCTGGTTTGTTTTAGAACTGCGCAGACAATTCATTTGCTTTTTGTCAATCTAATGGCACAATATTGACGAAGAGCCAAAGAGTAAATTCTTTAGCGTCGTGTGTACGCAAATAGTTCGCGCCAAAATGATGTGACTTGATGCGATTTTTTGCAAAGGAAACAAGTCGACAGGGGCACCCAACGAGAATATAGTTCAAAACCACTTAAACATAGCTTTGTTAAACGTATTTTAGTATTTAAACGGTAGATATAGACATATTTTTATCCCCTAAAAGTTTTTCATCTGTTCGGATTTCCTAGCTGAAATTTAGTGATCCGAAAATTATAGGGATCAAAACATTTTAGCCAGAAAAAAGGCTTTCGAAAGTCCTAGGTGACCTTTTTAGGGTAAAAATTCGTTAAAAATGGGCAATTATGTCATTTTTTAGATGTTTGAAAATCCTAGGAGAGGCAGGTAAGTAAGAGATTTTACAACAAATGTTCCGAAAATTCTAGATCTCAAATCGTCTTCCGAATAGACTGATTTTCTGAAAATTGACGTTAGGTGCCCCTGAGTCGAGCTCCCGCTTTCTCGCTCGCTTTTGTCGCAGAAAACATAAAAACATCTACCGCTCGCACTTCGCGCTCGTGAAGAAAATTGAAGCTCGACTTGTAGGCAAGTCCAGTTCATGCCCGGTTTCCTGTTTCGGTCAAGTCTCATCACCGCCGCACTCAATCGCTGCACGCGAGAAAAAACCTCTGGTAACATAAACATATTTAAGTGTCGATGTGTTTAGCTGATAAAGCTAATTGGGGACACAATTAATTAGGTACCCAGGGTTATGGTTTGAGGCCTAAGAACGCCGTCACCTTGGTAAGCTACAATAGATTCAAAGCTGCTTTCAAAGCACATTCCACTGCTAGAAATCGTGTGCGGCAAGAGGCTTTTCTTGGAGCAAGCTACGACAACAACGCAAGTCTGCTTAGAGAAAAATTGTGATTGGAGACTCTTGGAGTACATCGCAAAAAGCAAAAAGCTATGTGGTAGTGTTCAATGAGCATGTCCCTTCGAACTGTGACGTGTTTTCGGAATTTGTCCACTCCTTCTTTCTGGTGGTGTTTAACTCTTATACTGCATGTCGCCGTTTTTAAGTTTTGTGCCTTTTATAGCACCGGCAGTTTATCATAAGCGTTTATTAAACAAACTTATATGATACGTTGCTTTTGCTTTACTTACGTGGTTCTTTGAATGTTGAACAAGCCAATGAAATAGCAAGCAGTGATTTCAGCCTGAAAAATAAAAGACCATAAAATAAAGCTACAATCGCATCAATTCTTGTCTCTGTCGTATTTATCTGACCTTTGCCAAACGCTTAAACTGACACAACAAGCGAATGTGGAAACCACTTACCCAAGACTAAACATGCAAAAGCTTTCAGTTGACTTCATTTCAGGTCATTTTACATTCAAAAAGAAGAGAATGACGAGAAAACACGGGAGAAAATATTTTAACGTCTGGAACATGTAGTCTTTGCTGTAAGCTATTGCCGGAATCATCTTTCATCACCTATAAAGGTTACCGGATACCTTCAAGGTTGTGTTACGCTCAAGTTATTTCC